TTAATAAGGATTTTATTTCAAAATATATATTTTTCTAATTGGAATTGATATTTTTTCTAAAGGCTACATTTTTTATATAACTACATAAAATACTAAAAAATTACAAAAAAAAAACTATAAAAAAATAAAATATAAAAAATACAACAAAATAACAAACACAAAACAAAGTTATCCTATTACAAAAATAAATAAATTGTTTGCTTAGTTTTTATGTATTTTTATATATAATATATATTTAAAACAAAAAAAAAATAGATTTTTTATACTTCAAAATACTAAACGTATAAAAATTAATTAATAATAATTACAAAACAAAATATTTGTTTCAAAAAAATAAAAAAAAAATTAAAAATATTATTAAGTGTTTTTTACCATTATTAAAAAAATAAATTAATTATTATCAGTATAATAAATATTAACAAAATAATAATTGAACGGTACCTATTTTAATAATGTTTAAATATTTAGTGGAATTAAATTAAAGTCAAACTACAAAAATTACAAACTCTAACAAAAAAAAAGCAATAAACAAATTTGTAACTGAATAACAAATTAGCATGATAAACAAATTTGTATTTGATGATTGTAAAAAATAATAATAATTAAAAAAAACAATAACAACAACATTAAATAAAAATGTTTGTATTTTTTCAAATAAAAATAAAAAATAGTTTTGTCTTTTATTTTAAATTGGAAGATGTTTTATGGATTTTTGCATTTAGGTATGCTACTCAATGAGAACCCAAAATTACAGCCAATTCGGAACGTCCTCAATACCAAATTGTTGAATTGGTGGTAAGGGTACCACATAGGAGCTAACGTAAGAAGTTAACCAATATTGATAATTTTTGGAAGGAAGATGGGCCACCCAATGAAAACTCCACATACCAAATTATAGTCAATTCGTCAATCAATTTGATAAAAATCCGCAAAATACCGAATAATTGAGGGTACCTCTATATGGGGGCTATCGTAAGAAGTTGACCAATTGTGATACTTTTTGGTAGGAAGGTCTGTCGCTCAATGGGAACTTAACATACCAAATTGTAGCCAATTAGGTCGAAAAACATGCCCAAACTCTCTAAAATAACGAATTATGGGGAATACCGGGTATCCGCTGAATATTTTGAGGCATTACATATTTTCTATATGCTACAGCTGACTTTCACATACACGTGTACAAATTTATTTACATTCCAACCAATACATGGCCTAGATTTTTTGATTTAATTTACAAAATGTTTTCTTTATTTTCTTTTTAAATCGCCTTTCAATTGTCCTTATTTTTCTAAAAATGATTTAATTTCCCATTACTGCAAATATTTAACCAAAATCGAATATCAAAATTTTCTTCAAAGCGATTTGAAAATTTTTTTCAAATAAACATAATTTTCATAGCTTTCCGTTGTGTGTAATGTTTGTTTATTGGCATACAGATAAACTACACAATTTCACCTAACCAATAGTGAAAGTTGCATCCAAATGCCTCAGTTCATTACAAAGTTATAACCATTTAAAGTTGAGCTTGTGTCAAAATATAGCAGCTACACGATTCTGTTTGCCTAGTACCGAAATTGTTTGAGAACAAAGAAATTCATTTTGTCAAAAATCCAAAAATGCAGCTAGCTAGCTGTGTTACCAGATCGCTGCCATGGTGTTTTGATGTATGTTGGTAAATTGCTGAACATACTTTAGGCGTTACATTAAAATCCAGAGACATTAAAACTTTTAATAGATTTCTATTTGAGTGGTGCGCCTGAAAGTATGCTCATAATTTTAGAACTTACTACAAAACACCATTGAAGCGATATGGTAACACAGCTATCTAGCTGCATTCTTCGATTTTTGACAATATGAATTTCTTTGTTTTCAAAACCAGGCAAACAGAATCGTGTAGCTGCTATATTTTGACACACGGTCAACTTCAAATGGTTATAACTTTGGAATGAATTGTGAAATTTGTATGCAACTTTCACTATTGGTTAAGGGAGAATGTGTAGTTTATTTGTATTTTAATAAAAAAGCATTACACAAACTTGAAAGCTATGAAAATTATGTTTGTTTGAAAAACTGTCAAAATCGCATTGAACTGAAGAATGAATTGAGATATTTGGATACTTTTAATATCTGTTAGGGAAGGTTTTGAAGTTTATACGTGTGCCAATTTTCACAACCCAGAATTAACTAAATTAGTGGAAATGATGACATTATAATATAATATAATATAAAAATAAATATGCCGTTAATAATGTCCAGTACATTCAGACAAATGGTCATCAAGAGCACGCCCACGGAAAAATAATTGCTTGTTGGCTAGCCACCGAGTTAGAAATATCTGTATCTGTAAAAATGATTTTTCGATGTTATTCCCAATTCATGGACCTGGTAAAATTTCTAAAAATATTATCTACCAACTCAAATAAAAAATCCCATCCTACCGTAATAAAAAAAAACACATTTTATGGAGGGTAATCTTTTTTTATTCAACATAATTACCTTCATAGGGGATACACTGATTACAACGGACCTCCAAATTTTCAACACAACTTTTGTTTTACATTTTGTCATTTGCTTCAATTTTGTAATTTGCTTCAACCTCAATATAGTGAATCGGTAGCCTGTGAAATTTATACACGGTTCTTTTGGAAGATACCGTTTTTTTTCACATTTTAGCTTGTGCCTTTTCGAATCGCCTTCGACGTAAGGTAGCCGGATTTGTTCAAGGGCAAATAATTTTATTAACGTCTTTCAGGCGAATCCGAGAGTTCTTCATAATCCACAATTTATAGGAAAATTATTAGTCATATTTTTCAGGGGACCAACACAGGTGTGGATTTTTAAATACATTTTTTTACAAATATTTTTTCAAGCGACTAACGCAGGCATTTATTTTTTCTAATAATATTTTTCATTTTTTTAAGGTTATTTTTTCAGGGACTATAAAAGGCGTGGATTTTTTAAAGATTATTTTTTCAGGGAGGGACCAACACAAATTTTTTCGGGCATGGATTTTTTAAAGAATACTTTTTCAGGGACTCAAACAAGGCGTGGATTTTTTAAAGAAAACTTTTTCAGGGACTCAAACAAGGCGTGGATTTTTTAAAGAATAATTTTTCAGGGACTCAAACCAGGCATTGATTTTTTAAAGAATAATTTTTCAGGGACTCAAACAAGGCGTGGATTTTTTAAAGAATAATTCTTCAGGGACTCCAACAAGGCGTGGATTTTTTAAAGAATAATTTTCAGGGACTCCAACAAGGCGTGGATTTTTTAAAGAATAATTTTTCAGGGACTCAAACAAGGCGTGGAGTTTTTAAAGAATATTTTTCAGGGACTCATACAAGGCGTGTATTTTTTAAAGAATAATTTTTCAGGGACTCAAACAAGGCGTGGATTTTTTAAAGAATATTTTTTTCAGGGACTCAAACAAGGCGTGGATTTTTTAAAGAATATTTTTTCAACGACTCAAACAAGGCGTGGATTTTTTAAGGAATAATTTTTCAGGCACTCTAACAAGGCGTGGAGTTTTTAAAAAATAATTTTCAGGGACTCAAACAACGGCGTGGAGTTTTTAAAAAATAATTTTTCAGGGACTCAAACAACGGCGTGGATTTTTTAAAGAATATTTTTCAAGGATTCAAACAAGGCGTGGAATTTTTCAAGAATACTTTTTCAGGGACTCAAACAAGGCGTGGATTTTTTAAAGAATACTTTTTCAGGACTCAAACAAGGCGTGGAGTTTTTAAAGAATAATTTTTCAGGGACTCAAACAAGGCGTGGATTTTTTAAAGAAGACTTTTTCAGGACTCAAACAAGGCGTGGATTTTTTATGTGAAAACTACGACTAGAATATTGTAAATATTTTTTACGTACAATATTGATTTAATTAAATAATATTGACCTTTCGACATTTACATTCAAATTGCGAAAAGAAAACAAAACTTGTTGATTCAGATATTGAGAGATTAAGCACACAACCTGCATGTGAACTTGCAGCTCATAATGGACAATTTTGTGGTAAACCACAAAAATTGGACAAATAAACAAAACAAACCAATATCAACAACTTTTAAGGTTTCTTTCTGGCAAATACGAAACAAATCGATAGCAGACGGATTAGAGAAAACGACAAACTTTTTTTCTTCTTCTTTCTTGTTTTTCACAGTAATCCCCTCGCATAACACTATACAACGACATTGAAAATGTCAACGATATAATCGGCAAATGTCATAACATTGAACAAGGAAACAAGTGAAAGGTCTACTGTTGGACAAATGCGACTATAGGCGGCTCTATTGGTACCTTAAAAAGAAATGGAAAATACAATTTTAAAAATTCCTCGCCTTGTTTCAGTCCCTGAATTTTTTTTAATTAGCTACATGTTTGTGGAAAACATTTTTAAAAAAGTCACGCCTTGTTTGAGGCCCTTAAAAATATTTTTTAAAGAATCCATGCCTCGTTTGAATGCCTGAAAAAAATCCAAGCCTTGTATTACTTACGTAGCTGGCTCGAGACAGAACATTTTTTCCTTAGCCAAACTTAACAAAGATTTCCAGGCTCGTCGATCCTTTGCGCATTTTTTTTTTTAATTTCAAAGACCATATTTGGATGTCATCCTCCATTTGATCTTTCCATTGAAATCGTGGCCTTCCCTTTATGTGTGATCCATCAGTAGGCTTGCTTTTATATGCATTTTGAGCTGTATTTGCCATGTTTTACTGCAATAGTGACTTTAAAAAACGACTTAACCGACCATTGTACGAGTGTTACAAACAAACACCTCAACTACCCCACCGAGGCAGAGGTTATAACTGCACCAAAAAGAAAACTGAAAATAAAAAAAAAAACAAAACAATTATCAACAACAAATAAATCACTATAAAAATCGCATTTTTCTTACGGACATATTTTAGTTTTTTACCAGACATCGTTGAATTCGCATCTAAATCGACCGACTGCCACTGAAATCGGAATCCCATATAAAATCTGCTGAAAAAAACAAATTCAGGATTACTTACAAAATGGTCAATACAACAATGCAAGAATGGATGTCCAATGAAATGGAACGTTTATCCCTGAAATGGGAACGTTACAAACCAGCATGTTCCGGTTATAATCGTATACACTCGGTTCGTCTCTCGAAAAGTGTTACCCATATGCTCAACAATCCCCTGCCTGCAGAGGATCGTTTAGGTGGCAGTTCTTCATCATCAATGTCGTCGTCCATGCAACGAGGTGGTACAGCTCAAAGTTCCCAGGTCTTAAGTCGTTCGCCATCATCGTGGGAGGAAGTGTATCCTACAGTGCGAATTACCCGTCAAGACTCGGAGGGGGAGCGCAAGGATAGTGTACAGAAATTTGCCTATTATCGAAATTGTTCGACACGTGTAACGTAGGCAAATGGGTTGAGTTTTTGGAATAAGTAGTGCCTTTGTGAAATTTTGTTTATAACAAAAAACTTTTGAGTAAATTGGATTTTGCCATATTTTTAATGGCAAAGATAGTAAAGATGGCCTCCTTTGGTCAACATGAAATGGAGCAATGCATTTCAATTTTACTGATAATTGCAACTCCACCATGGCGTAGAATAATTTCTTATATTGTTTTCTATTTCTAAATATTATATATTTTTGTATTGAAAAAAGAGTATGAATTGATTGTGTCCCCGTAATAAGTTAAGCTGAAAAAATTTCGAATTAAAATAAACAAATAACGAAATATATTAATACAAATTATGTTTCAAGTAGAGAACATATTTGTTATAAACGAAAAAAAAAAATAAATTTAATTTGAACACAAAAAAAATATACGTACATACAGTTTTATGTTATTTTAAATAATTACAAAGAGAGGGTCGCTTAAAGAAAAAATATATATATTTGTGTTATATCTACACAGACCGATATAGTCTTATTAGTCTCTACACAGACCAATTGGGTCATTATACAGTTCTATAAAGACTCTTGTACGGTTGTTCCAAAAGCCGAGGTTAAAAACGATTTCCAAGTGCGTCGGTCTTGTGCGCAACTCATCCAATTTGAAAAGCCATTTTCCGAGATGTTGTCTTCTACTTGATCTTTCGACAACACTTTTATATGCCTTTTGAGTGGGGGAATCCTCATTCATTCTCATATCATGGCCTAGCCAACGTAGTCGCTGCAGCTCGACACTTTTGACTATGTCGACGTCCGAGAATAGATGATACAACTCATTGTTCATTCGACAGCGATATTCACCGTCGACACAGATCAGCCCATAGATCTTCCGGATAATTTTTTCTCTCAAACACTCCAAAAGCTGCATCCATACGACAGCTCGGGTAATATCAAAGTCTTGTAGAGTTTGAGTTTGGTCTAACGAGAGGTGGCCTTGTTTCTAAACTGCTTACTTAGACCATAGTAGCATGTGTTGGCCATCACTATCCTTCACCGAATTTCAAAACTGATGTCATTAGTTTTATTTATGACGGTACCGAGTTATATAAAATCGTTCACTACCTCGAAGCTGTAGTTTTCAAGTTCCACAGTTGGTCCGAGTGTACTGGACGTCTTGTGTGTTGATACCATCAGCTTGGTCTTCGCCATTTACTGCCAGTCCCATTTTGGCAGACTCGTTCTCAATTCGTTCCAAGGTGGCTGTTACCGCTCACATTGTTCGACCCATTATGTCGATGTTGTCGCCGCAGGCGATTAATATATGCTGGTGTTGGTGTACATAGTGTCATTTCTGTTTACATTTGCATCTCGTATGACCTTTCCCAGCAGGATGTTAAACCGGTCAAACGACAAACTGTCACCTTGTCTGAATCCTCGTTCGGCATTGAAGGGCTCCGAGAGGTCCTTTCCGATATTAAGTCCTGAACTTGTGCAAGTTAAAGTTTTACTGCATAGCCGTATTAATTTTACAGGAATGTCGAACGCAGACATGATAGTTCTGAGCGGAGTGGGTTGTCTAAAGCGGTTTTATAGTCGACGAGTAGGTTGAATGTGTCGATGTGTTTTTCGTGGGTGTATTTCCAGAATTTGGAAAATCTGGTCTATGGTGGATTTTCCAGGTCTGAAGCTGCATTGGTATGGTCAAATAATGTCTTCGACCATTGGCTTCAGTCGTTTACACAGCACATTGGATAGCACTTTATATGCGATGGGAAGGAGATTAATTCCTCTATAGTTGGCACACATCGTCTTGTCTCCTTTTTTGTGCACGGTACACAGGATGCTGAGGTTCCAATCATTGAGTATGCATTCCTCTAGCCAAACTGTACTAATCAGTTGCTGCATGCTCCTGGACAGCATTGGACCACCGATCTGAAATTGTTCATCCATCGGCACTTGCTGCTTTGTTGTTCTTCAGCCTCATCCAGGCTAGGGTGTATACAATCTATATCGTCATCTCTTATTGGTTCTGGAGTATATTCTTCACCGCCACTATTCGATACCAGAAGCTTCTCAAAATGATCCATCCAGATCCTCAATACGCAGTCTGTATCTGTCACCAGGTTTCCTTCTTCATCTCTATATGATGTTATGCCTGCACCAAAGTTTTCGGTTTGGGGTTTTACTGGTTGGTGAAATTTCCGGACTTCGTTCTGACTCCTGTACATCTCGATTGGCTCCCACTCACGTTTTTCTTGTTCTTTCTTCTGAAAATACGTTTCTCCTCTCTCCTTTTCTCCCGATATTTCTCCATCGCATTACATGTTGCTACTGTTTGCAGGGTTGCCTATACGATGTGTTTTTCATATCAGTAGCATTACGCTACTCCTGATCGTACCATCGGTTTCTTGATGGTGGTCTTTGGTACCCAAGTGTTGCATTTGCTGCAGTTTTTAGGGAATGGACAATTATTCTACGTAATTATCGGGACAAGGAGTGCTTTTGTCAAGCAAGTAGGTAAGTTGAGCGGAGTATTCTTTGCTATCTGTTGTGTTTGCAGCTTTGCGATGTCCAGTTTCCGTGCTCCGATCACGAAGAGGACGTAAAAACGTCTAAAACACTGGATAAATGCCTTCCGTCCATCACACCATGATCAATTTGTTTGATCAGGAGAAATCCGGGTAGCCCTGTGTATATCGAGATGCTTGAATCTGGTGCTGCTAGCTACCATGTTTTTTGCTGACGTGAAGTCAATCAACTTCATGCTGTTGTCGGATGTTTTTTCATGGAGGCTAAATTTTCCGACGTTGGGGCCAAAAAGTATTTTCCCTTCCGATTTTTTGCATTAAAATCTCCTAGTAGAATTTTATGTAATGGCCAGGGCAGCGTTCATATACTGTTTCTAGACGCTCGTTGAATATGTCTTTGGTCTGCTCATCTTTGTTTCCCGTCGGAGCATGGGCGCAAATAAGACTAATGCAAAAGAACTTCGCTTTTATACGATTTACAGCAATTCGCTCATCTACTGGAGTGAATCTGTAGACGAGGTCTTTTATTCTCCTGTTAACCATAAATGTAATAGAGTGTGTAATCATCTGATTACGGTACGCCTGTCCCTTTCCATCGCATTTCCTATAAGGCAATAATATCGGCTTTGTACTTTTTGAGTACGTCCGCCAAAGGGAAAACTGCGCCTATTCTGTACAACGTGCGCACAACATTAGGGAGTTTGGTTTTTTGTTGCTTTTTCATAGTAGTAGTTTTCATCCCGATGCCTCAACCCATTTTTTTATAGTTCTTATTAGTAACTCATAGCATATATCAGCTCACTATTTCCATGCTTGGTATCTATCATCCCCTACGACGCCCGTAGTCATATTTACACTTTCATTAAATTTCAATAAAACATTTTAGAAATTCTCTGTGTTTATAAGAAAAAAAATTTAAAAAAATGTCTGTCAATAATCCCCATCAACCAAATTGTCGTCTAATCTTCACTGAACCGGCATTGCAATATCGTCGCACCAATATTATTGCTTCAATTTCAAAATCATCGCAAAATCCGAAAATATTACAGCAAATGATTTTGGCTGGCATGAATATTGCACGTTTAAATTTCTCTCATGATACGCAAACGTTCCATGAGAGATCAATAGAATTGCTGCGGGAGGCCTCGGAAAAATGTTCCCTCGAATTGGGACGTACCATCCAAGTGGCCTTAGCCTTGGATACAAAAGGACCCGAGATATGAACAGGCCTATTGGAAGCAGGCCCTAATGCTGAAATCGAATTAAGGAGCAATGATAATTTTCGCCTCTCGATTAATCGTGATTTAATGGCCAAGGGCAATCGTGATTTTATTTATGTGGATTATGAACGGATCATTGATGTCCTGCAGCCCGGAAATTTGATATATATAAATGATGGAGCCTTGGTATTGGTGGTAAAAGAATTGGGTGTGGATTGTGTTCTTTGTCAAATACGACGTGGAGGCATGTTGGGTTCACGCAAGAAAATAAATTTACCCGGCATCAATGTGGACCTGCCAGCTGTATCGGAAAAAGATCAAAATGATTTGAAATTTGCTGTGAAAAATAATTTCGATATGATTTTTGCTTCATCAACACGAAATACAGAGGCCTTGCGGGAAATTCGTTCAGTGTTGGGTACGAAGGGTAAAGAATTGAAGTTAATAGCAAAAATCGATTCTCAGCAGGGTCTAGAAAATATTAATGAAATTCTCTGCACCGCTGATGGCATACTTTTTGATCGTGCTGATTTGTCAATAGAAATTCCAGCAGCAAAAATATTTCTAGCTCAAAAAGCCATTGCCGAACGTTGTAATCGTTTGGGTAAGCCCTTTATAATTGCATCCCAATTGCTTACATCAATGTGTCAAAAAACGACACCCACACGCTCCGAAGTGGCCGATTTAGGAAATTCGATATTAGATGGTGCCGATTGTGTTATGCTTTCTGCAGAAACAGCCATAGGAAGATATCCTGTAGAATCTGTTGCCACTATGGATGGTATAATTCGTGAATTTGAATTAATTGCATTTCATGATAATCAATTGCGGGATATCCCCTTGACATTGGATCCCGTTAATACGCTTGCCATATCGGCCGTAAATGCTGCCAATAAAACTATGGCTTCGGCAATTATTGTTTTAACAACTTCCGGCCGGTCGGCACATTCAGTGGCAAAATATCATCCCAAATGTCCGATATTGGCCGTAACCAGATGTTCCCGTGCATTTCGTCAATGTTTTCTTTATCGTGGTATTGTTCCAATGCTTTATACAGGTAAGCAGATTTTTTCGACAGACCTCGAATAAATATTTGTTTATTAAAAACATTTTTTCATCATCTAGATAAACTTGCTGACAATTGGTTGGAGGCTATAGATGCCCGCATACAATTCGCCTTGAATGTCGCCAAACTCATGCAGATTGTAAAAACGGGAGATACAGTTCTAATTGTATCACCTTGGAAAGATGGTGCTGGTTTTACAAATAATCTACGTTTAATTTATGCCTATTTTGAACAGGATGATGTAGATTGTGTGCTGCAGGATGAACGGAAATCAACAAAGAAATTGATTTAAAACTGTTTATACAAAATACACAATTAAGGTTAATGGTAAATAAAAAATACATTCCGAATATGATGACAGATACCACAGGTCTGTATGCAGACCACTGATTTTTATAGCAATTGGTCTGTATAGAGGAGTAGCGTAGGTGATGATAAATACCAAGCAACGGCTCTGATTGCTTTAACATGGCAAAGTCCAGGCTTATCTTGGTCCTTCTTTCATCTCAATTATGAACACTGACCTCCCCGCGGTGTCACTTGGGTTAGCTTCTTTCACCATCCGTTGAAATCGTGAGCTGATATGTGCTCGGACAACTTATCGGAGCTGGGTCCCTTAAATTGGAAAATGTACAAGACCGACGCGCCGTGGAGATCTTGGAGTGTTTGAGAGGAAAATTTTCCGAAAGAATATCGCGGTGAATATCGTCATCGAATGTACCATCAGTCGTACCATCTATTCTCGGACATCGGCATTGTCAGACAAATCGAGCTTCTGTTGGCTAGGTCATGTTGTGAGATTGGATGATGTTGCCAAAGGCAGCATATAATTCGATGGAAAGCTAAGTAAAGTAACCGCCATAAATACAACTAATGCCATCAATTTTGAAATTCGGAGAAGGCCAACAGATGCTACTATTGTCTAAGTTTAGAAACAAGGCCACCTCCCGCCAGACCAAACTCACACTCTACTATCCGTGCTGTTATATGGATCTGAAGCATGGGTACTTGCGCAAGCAGATGAGGCAGCTCTTGGAGTGTTAGAGAAAGTCCCCCTATAGGCCGATCTACGTCGACGGTGAATATCGGCGTCGAATGAATCATGCTTGGAACCAGCTGCAGCGACTACGGTGGCTAGGCCATGTTGTGCGAATGGATAAGGATGCCCCAGGCAAAAGGCATATAAAAGCGAGCCTACTGATGGTTTAAGCAAAAGGGGAAGACCACGATATATGAAAGCATGGTGTTTCAAATTGGAAAAACTGTGCACAAGATCGATGCGCCTGTAAATCTTTTTAAGCTCGGCTTATGGAACAAATGTTCTGTCTCGAGCCAGCTAAGTAAGTATAAATATGGCTACATTGTTTCCTAAATATTCATATAATAAAAATACATTCTAAACATTTTTGATACAATTTCTGACCCATAAGAAATTAAAATTTAATTTAAATTAGAATTTCTATAAAAATACCCCATTTTAGTTCTTTTAAGATTCTCGCCATATTTTTTCATTCAAAATGGCAGTATGTTTCAATTTGGAGTTCTCTCTTCTCAGAAAAATTTCAATTTATGTACATCGGTTCTCCCAAAAATATATGGGAATTCATTGCTAAAAATCGATTACCAAAACTAGCTGTTATTATTTTATGTTTATTATTTTATTTTAATCTGAAAAATAGGATACATTTTTTATTTAGCTTTAACAAAATATATAAATATATCTATCTATATATTTTTTAAATATTATCTTTTTTTTTAATATTTTATCATATATTTCCTTAAACAAGTCTTGCTGATCCCAAATGTTTGCTGGTATAGGCTACCTTTTGTCCCCATTCATTGCGATAATTATTGGCACGTTTAACTCGGACGACTGCATACATTTTAGGCGACCTACTGGGATACAAATTATCCCAGTTCGACAACGGGCAATCCAAAATGTGAACATTTGGTTGTCGTCGATGCGTCGCTTTCTTATTCGTAATAATTCTCCCGCCACTAACGGCTCCTCCTCCTCCAACATTAAGTATATCAATTTGATATGGTGCATTGGCCGTATATCGCACAGTTTTCGAAACACCCGCAGACTGTATACGATTATAACCCGAACATCCTGGCATATAATGTTTGATTTTTGTCGATAAACGTTCCACTTCGTTAGTCATCCATTTTTGTAGTGTCTTGTTGACCATGTTAGGGGTTTTTCTTTTTTAATTTTCTTGGTTTGGAAAATTATTTTATTATTATTATTATTTTTTTTTTTTTTGGAAATTGAGTCTTGTGAGTCCAACAACGTTTTAATGCACACTGACCACTATTCGATTGATAGAATAACTTTGGTAAATTCCGTTGTTATCATAAACATACGCAAAAAATAAAAAAAAACAAACATAATCACTTGTTCTACATGGAAGGTTGAAATTGGAAATGCCTTCGTATGAAACCTACATAAGATGCTTATGTTTAATTTTTTCTACAATGAACAATGCGTTTGCAGACAGAAGGAGAATGTTTAGTTTTTTAATCTGTTTTCCTCTAAACATGTAAGCAATAAACAATAACAACAAATCTAAAAAATAATCTGCCTATCAATTAAATTGGAAAAAGTAATGAAAAATTCGATTGTATCAAAACATTGGTATAATTATTAGACCACATTTAAAATATATCTGTTTGGAGATCTGTTATCCTCTGAGAACTTGAAATAACAATTTACAGCCACTTCAGTTGGAGAATAAATCTAGAGCCTTAAAAAAATGCCTAAATTATGACGGCAACGTTATGTTGATACTATGTCAAAACGTAGACCTACATTGAACATTTTCTGTTAGCAGGCTTTTTATTCTAAATTCAAAATTTTAATTTCTCCATGGAACAAAAACTTCTCCTTGACAGACAAATTGCAATATAAATCATTCCAGGAATATACGAGAACGTTATATTAATAACTTATTTACTTAGCTGGCTAGTGACAGAACATACGTTCTATAAGCCGAACTTAAAAAAGATTTTCAGGCGCGTCGGTATTTCGCGCAGATCTTCCAATTTGAAAGACCATGTTCCGAAATGTTATCTTCCACATGACCTTTCCATCTAATTCATCTAATATCGTTTTCATCAGCATAGGCGAGTAACATGCGTTGTTTTGTGTACATAGTGATATTTCTATTCACCTATGCCCTTCGTATGACCTTTTCCAACAGGATGTTAAAAAAATCTCACGACAAACTGTCAACTTGTCTGAATCCTCCTTCGATATTAAAGGGCTCCGATAGGTCCTTTCAGACTTCAACTGCTGACCATGTGTAAGTTAAAGCTGTGGTGTGGTCGACGAATGGGTGGAATGTGTCGATGTGGTTTTCGTGGGTATTTTCCACGAATTGTCTGGTTAATGGTGGATTTTCCAGGTCTGAAGCCGCATTTGGTATGACCCAATAATGTCATTAACCATTGGCTTTAGTCGTTCACACAGCACGGTGGAGATCGCTTTACATGCGATGGGAAGGAGACTAATTCCTCTATAGTTGGCACATATCGTCTTGTCTCCTTTTTTGTGCACAGTACACAGGATGCTGAGGTTCCAATCATTGGACATACATTCTTCTAGCCAAATTGTACTAATCAGCCTGCATGCATGCATCTGACCACCGGTCTTAAATAGTTCCACTGGTAATTCATCCGCACCTGCTGCTTTATTACTCTTCAGTCGATTGATTGCTTTTCCTCATCGTGGCTAGATGGTATACACTCAATACCGTCATCTCTTATTGTTTGTGGAGTATCGTCTTCACTGCCACTATTTGATACCAGAAGCTTTGCAAAATGCTCCTTCCAGATACTCAACACGTGCTCTGTATCTGCCACCAAGTTTCCATCTTCATTCTGACTCCTGTACATCTCAATTTGCTCCGCTCACGTTTTTCTGATTCTTTCTTCTTCTTTTTTTTTTGAAAATATGTTTTTCCTTTTCTTCCGATTATTCTCTCTCGCATTACGTGTTGCTACTGTCTGCAGGGTTGCCCTATACGCTGTGTTTTTCATATCGACGCCTCCGAACCATAGTATGCTAAGTCTGAAAAGTGAGTTTTTCAGTAGAAGCTCTCAAAGTATTGAAGTTTCATATATCTTACGGGCCATGCTATGTACATTTTTGCTTATAACTTTGGTTTGGATTGGCCGATGGTTACCAAAATTTCAGAGAATATAAATTAAGGACCGTAGTATCTAAAAACGTAAAGAACTTGAAAACAGTCTAAGTCGACTTAGCATACTATGGTTCGGAGGCGTCGATATCAGTAGCATTACGCCACTCCTGATCGTACCATGGGTTTCTTGATGGTGGTCTTTGGTACCCAAAGTGTTGCTTTTGCTGCAGTTTTTAGGGAATGGACAATTCTTTGCCATTGGGATTTGCTATATTATTATCGGGACGAGTGGAAACCTTGGCTGGTACAAGGTAGTGGTCCGAGTCGAGATTCGCTCCTCGGATCGATGGAACGTCTAAAACAATGGATGAATACTTTCTTATCTACCACAACATGATCGATTTGATTTGTCGTTGTTTGATCGGGATAAATGCAGTTGGCCTTGTGTCTATCGAGATTCTTGAATCTGGTGCTGCTAACTACAATGTTTTTTGCTGCCGCGAAGTCAATCAACCGATGACGGATGTTGGCTGCATTTTTAGAAGTTGGGTCCAAAAATATTTTCCCATCCGATTTTTGCATTACTAGCAGAATTTTAATGTCATGGCCAGGGCAGCGTTCATATGCTGTTTCTAGGTGCTCGTAAAATATGTCTCTGGTCTGCTCATCTTTGTCTTCCGTCGGAGCATGGGCGCAAATAAGACTGATGTAGAAGAACTTCGCTTTTATGCGGATTATAGCAATTCGCTCATCTACTGTAGAGAATCTGGAGACGAGGACTATCATTTTCCTATTAACCATAAATCTGCAGCCAAATTTATGTCTCTATCATGGCAGCTATAATACAGGGCGTAATCATTTAATTTACTTATGTCAGTCCCTTTCCATTGCATTTCCTGTAAGGTAATAACATCGACTTTGTATTTCTTGAGTACATCCGCCAAGGCGAAAACTGTGCCTATTCTGTACAACGTGTGCATATTTCAAGTGCAGATTCGCAGGTTGTGGTCCTTTATACGTATGCCGGGGTTGCCAACATTAGGGGAGTTTGGTTTTCTTTTTCGTTATTTTTTTCATAGTAGGAGAGATTTTCCGAGTGTGGGCAATTAACCCAACGCATTTTTTTCTATAGTTCTTATGGGTGAACTCTCGATCCATACCAGCTCACTATTTCAAAAGGTGATGAAAATAGCTATCACAGGTGACACCGCGGGAAGGTCAGTGTCCACAATGGAAATGAAAGAGGGACTAAGATAAGCCTGGCCTTTATCATGTCGAAGCCAATCAGAACCGTTACTTGGTAATCTATCATCCCCTACGTCACGACAGATTTAAAGGCCTTTAAAAAATAAATTTTAACATCTATTAAATCTCTAAAATACTTTTGGGGAAATACTTGACTTTCAAAATAGGCTTTACTTCTAAATATTACCGAAAAAGTCTTGAAAAAAAACTTCATTTTAAAATTCGGAGAATCCCGTTTTTTAAAGACAATTTTGTAAAATTCATTATTTTATATATTTCCAAAAAACATGTGTAGAATAATGTATTTATGTATATACATATATAATAAAAAATGTTGTGCATTTTTTCAAGTAAATTCTTTCGAGTAAATTGTTTAAAAAACTAATTTTTGGACAATTATATAGTCTATAAATTACTAACATGAAAGGAACTATATGGCTAAAATAAAATTTAATTTAGACAAAGAAAAATACAAAACTAAAACATAAAATATAAAATAAATTATAATTAAATATAAGAAACAATAAAACAGGAGAGCACTTTTGTCATGTAAAAATAATAATAAAAAAACATTGCAATGCGATGTATGGAAAAAAATATTTCCATAAACAAACATAAGGTATAAAACCAAATTCGTAACTAATAAAAAAAACATATAAAAAATGGCAACAATTGGTCAATTAAGGGGGGAAGGGCAGAGATTTCTAATAAATTAGCAAAATTCCAAAAAGAAAGAAACTAAGAAACTTTGCAGGTTTCATCGTGTAAATTATCGCCATTAAAGTCGTCATCTTGTGTTGAAAAGGCACCGCCTTGTAAGACTTTATTGACCGCAGCTCGGGCCAAATAACCGGTGGTTACATTATACACCAATGAATAGAATGGTGTCATATCGTTGTTGTGGTCCTGGATATTGTTATCCTAAAATAATTATACCGAAAATTAATAAAAAAATCCCAAACGATTTTTAATAAAACAAAAATTGAACCGTACCTTGCAATACATTAAGAATGCCTCCATAAGTATTTCATCCAAATCCAATGCCTGCTTAAAATGTAGCTCAGGATTCCTGAATAAAAAATCGAGAAGAAGAACAACAACAACGCCAATTTATTAATACCACCCTCAATTCATTTAAGTGTCTTGCTACATCGTATTTCGTCGTCTTACCTATTCAAAATCGTTGCAATAATACACAATAATTCCACGGTAATTTGTCGCCTTTCTGGTTTCTCAATGCATATCAAGGTCTCTTCTACCAATAGCGAAAAATTCAATTCACCTCGACTCATATTGATGAGGGTTGGGGTGGCCGGCAACAAGTGACCCTGTGTTGTAATGCCCAATGGTGTTCGCATTAGAATTTCCCATATTTTATTGTAGAAATGTTTGGGCACACGACACAAACAACCTTCCAATTGTCGACGTTGTAGGGTGGTAAGTCTATGTTGGATATATGTGGATATATAAGAATTACAATAATAATATTTTTTGAAGGTTTTAAAATAAAACAAACAAAATTTTAATGTTTTGCAACAACAAAAAGGGGGAAACATAAAAAGAGAGTAAATCTTTAAATTCGAAAATGGGTTACTTCATAAAGCACATAGGATCATTTGGATTTTTTTAAATCTGTTTTTTAATGTCTGAAGGGCTCCTTAAAAAAATATTATTAAAAATCACACACTTAACAGTTTAAAAACCACTGAAAAAAAGGTTTTTAAAAAATAGTCTTAAAATCCACTTTAAAAAATATAATTTTAAAATTCGCATTTAACGGTCTAAAAGATCTAAATACCTGAAGGTCTTTGAAAAAAATGTTCCTAAAACTCCGTGCTTAAAACTTTAAATGTCATTCTTAAAAGTCAAATTTTGAAAGTCGAATGACGTTTGGGGTGACATAGGGGATGATAGATACCATGCAACGACTTTGACAGTTAAAACAGTGAACTGATATGTGCCGCGAGTTCACCCATAAGGAGTATAAAAAATGGGTTGAGGGGTCGGGTAAAACCCGTCATTCTATGAAAAATCAACGAAAAATAAAACGAATCCATTCAATACCTGTCTACTACTAAGCTTGCAAATTTTAAAAATATATATTTTTTGGCCTTCATCTATTTATCTCAAAGAAGGATGATTAACTACTTCTTTTTTAACTTTACGATTCTCAGACTTTAAACGATCTGCCAGCGCCTAGAAACAGCATATGACCGCTGGCCTGGCCATGACTTTTAAATTCTGCTACGAAATTTTAATGCAAAAATCGGAAGGGAAAATATTATTGGCCCCACCGTCGGAAAATTCAGCATCCATGAAGAAACCTCAGGCAACGGTATGAGGATGATTGACTTCGCGGCATCAAAAAACATTGTAGTCAGCAGAACCAGATTCAAGCATCAATCAAGTAAGAAGAAATCTAATCGATCATGTTGTAACAGACGGATGACATTCAACCAGTGTTTTAGACGTTTGATCGATCCGAGGAGCGAATTTAGATACGGATCATTACATGGTAGCAGCCAAGGTTGGCACTCGCCTTAATGTAGCAGCAAAGGTGCGATCTAACATAAATTACGGATAGGAGCACGGAAACTCGACTTCGAAAAGCTGCAAACACAACAGGTAGCAGAAGCCTACTCCGCTCAACTTACCCACCTGCTGGACGAAAGGACACCTCGTCCCGATAATAATATAGCAAAACTTAATGGCAAAGAATTGTCCACGCCCTATAAACTGCAGCAAAAGCAAACCACCATCAATTATCCTATGGTACGATCAGGAGTGTCATAATGCTGCTGATATGAAAAACGCAGCGTATAGGTCAGCCCAGCAGACCGTAACAACACGTAATGCGAGAGAGAATTATCGGGAGAAAGGGAGAGAGGAGAAACATATTTTCAAAAGAAAAAGAAACACATGAGCAGGAACAAATCAAGCGGTACAGGGGTAAAAAAAGTACGGAAATCTAATCAAGGACAAAATACCAAACCGAATGCTTTGGTGTGGGCACATTATCCTTTAGAGAGATTATGGAAACCTGGTGACAGATACAGACCAATTGTTGAGGATCTGGTAGAAGCATTTTGTAAAGCTTCTGGTATCAAATACTGACGGTGAAGAAAATACCCCAGAACCAATAAGAGATGACGGTATAGAGTGTATACCACCTAGCCAAGATGAGGTAAGAATAGCAATAAATGGGCTGAAGAATAATAAAGCAGCAGGTGCCGATGGATTACCAGCCGAAATATTTAAGACTGGTGGTCGAAGGAGTCTGCCAAAGTGGGTCTGACACTAAATGACCAGAAGACTCGGTAATGGTAGTAGACTCGGACCAATTGTGTAACTTGAAAACTACAGCTTCGAGGTAGTCAAAAATTTTATATACCTTGCCACTGCCATAATGTTGTCCGTATTCAGGTTTTTAAACAGGGCAGACATGTTGAATGAATTTCAGATTTAGGTTAGTTTTCGGAAGTGGCGATTCTAATACTAGAGTACTTTCTTTGTTTCTCTAAAGGGAGTGCATTTTTTCCATAATTAAGGAAGTTAGTTTGTTATAGAATCTGAAAAATGGAGATTTTAGTTCAGTTTTATATCACTTACCTTTCTTCGGCAGCCCATTCACTAACAGTTAAGACCTTTTGCAATAATATACGCACTTGGAAAGGTGATAAATTTTCCAAATCAATTGATTCCTGGCCAGACATTTGCAAATAAAGGCGCATGGCTTCCAACACCCAGCCAATACGGATCTATATTACAAAAAAAGAAAAATAGATACCTCAAACATTTTTAATAAAAAAAATAATACCCCAAAACCTTACCTTCAAAATACCACGAAACATGGTGGGATTTGTTGCAATCAAACGGCCACAATACAGTACAACTTCCTGCTGCAGTACAGCCTGGACAACATTATACGGCTGCACAGTCTTATACATAACTTCTTGAATTTCCGCCGGTGTCATAGGTTTATCGAATACCGTTTCTTTTTGTCCAATTACACCGACCGTTAACTCTTTACCATTGACGAGGACAGTGGTGATGAAAGGACTTATTGAATCCACAATATGATGTAGAAGCGATGAACAATAGCGTACAGCACGCCAATAACGTAACGAACCAGCACGATGATATAATTGCTGTAAAGCTTGTATAACTGATAAGCCGTTGACTTCAAAGTGCGGACCTTCACGATTCAAAATAATACCCCATAATTGACAGAGGCAATAAACGGATTCGGTACTACGTAGGGCATCGATGATTTCATGTGTTGGCTTGTGATTGTAGTGCTGAAAGAGAAAAAAAAAACGAAATGCAAAATTAAGACTGGGAATTAAATTTGAAAAGTGAATCTGAAGACAAGGTATTTTATTCTTCTGTTAACCATTAATCCGCAGCCAAATTCATGACTCGTTTCATTGCAGCTATATTAGAGTGCATCTGAATCACTTGCGTCTGCCCCTTTCCCTCGCATTTCCTGTAAGGCAATAATATTGGCTTTGTACTTTTTGAGTACATCCGCCAAAACGAAAGCTGCGCCTGACCTGTACGACGTACGCACATTCCAAGTGAAGATCGTGGTCCTTTATTCGTTTTCGGGAGTCGTCAACATTGAAGTGGGTTTGGTTTTATTTTTCGTTGCTTTTTCATAGTAGTAGTGTGGGCCGACTAACCCGACGCTTCAACCCATTTTTTATTAGACACTAAAATGAGGAGCTACCCTGTATCACTTGCCAGGTTGGAGCACTAGTATTCGAAGCTTGCAATGATGCCGCATAGCTGGCCTTTCACTTAATAAGAAACTAACAATGTTTTGTCTTTGTCTGCGCCACAAGTTCTACTATAAAAACCTGGAGTATATGTATTTCAGAAAAATAAAGATATGTATCTTACCTCCACTGAGATTTTTTCTTCCACATAGGTTTGGGCTTTTGGCACATCGGTCAATGATTGATAGCCTATATATTCGTGATTTATTTGGGCAAAGGCATTTTCCTTATCCGATAAATCGCTTTGATTGATGAAATCCAAATGTTCTACAATAAAAAAAATTGAAAAATTTATAAACAAAATTATATTGCAAATACTTTTTCTCAAGGTTTATTCAAAAGGTTAACAGGGAGACAAATTCGGTTATTTCGCGATTAAAATGTTGACAGCAAGAGAATACTAAGCTATGAATTCGCCACCCGGTAGATCTTATTTAATAGGTCATGCATTTTTCTTTTCCACTTACCCATACAAGAGCTACTGATTAAATTTTGCAAACGACCAATCCGAACTTTCATACCATCACAATAGCCCTTCTTCAGCATGGCCAATAAATCCAACATTTCCTTAAATTGTGGATCACGCATATGCTCCTCACGTATTAACAGACAGACCGTTGGTCTACCCGATAGACGCCAATATTTACCAACAAATTGTAGCTCAGTTTTAATATCATCAATCAATAGGGCCATATCACGATATAAATAAAAATCCGATACTTCAAATATCAGTGGATAACATAAGACAGTCATGCCACAAATACGATAAACTTTACTCGTGCCCAATGAGCCAACGGGACGAGGTGGGCGACCGGAGAGGCCAACTTTTTTATTAACACCCAAATGTTGATAGACCTTAATGAGTTCGGTGGAAGACCAAATTTGTACGGGTTCAACCTAAAGTAAAAAAGAAAAGAAAAAGAAAATGAAATGAATTAAATAATTTTGAAAAGAAATATGTGAGATATGCTTTACCTCATGTGGTGTCTGAGTTTGTATGCCATATGTTGCCATCATTGCTTGCAGACGCATTGATTCGGCAATTAATACAATTTGCACAACTAAATCTGTGGCTGTACCCTGAGAATTTTGAAAAGTAAAAATATTATTAAATGAAAATTTTAATTAAAAAATAATTTTTTTAAATAACAAAATTAACAAATGCAAAATTGTAACGCATAAAATATATACATATATGTAAAGAGTTTAGTACAATTATACATACATATATTGAATATACATAAATATTTAAAAAACAAATAAAAACGTGCAACATTCCAAACAAAAAATCACAACAAATAATGTACACTTATTATAAAACAAAATGCAGAAAAAACTACAGTCAAACATCGTTATAACGAACACTATATATATTCGAAAATATTGCAAAGAAATCCAATAAGAAAAAACAAACAATGTCGGTGCCGATAAACGTAAATACCCTGTGTTTGGAGTAGGGTACAAAAGTATGTGGCTATCGGGTAATATTTAAAAATATTCCAAAATCTGTATAGAATAAAATGTAATTCCACCGAAGATTCGTTATAATAATGTTCGACTCTATTTACATAAAATAAAAAATTTTAATAAGAAACAAATTGTGTTATTTAAAAAAAATTTAAAATTTACCTCGTTCTTATAATTATCTCCTATAAAAGGAACTCTAGAGGTCTAAATGATTTATTTACCATCATCATTTAGTTTTTAGTTATTTTTTTAAGTAAATAGGAAAAAATGTATGCTGGTTAAAATGTTGTCAAAATTATATTATTATCTATTTTGTGGTGATTGTATAGTGTACGAAGCAAATGTTGAGAAGGAACTAAAATTTAAATTGGGTTTCTTCGTGTATATTACGGAATTAAGCAAAATCCTTCATTGAGAGCGTGTATAAAACAAAGTGGGAGTATTTGCTTTTTTAAATGAATCTAAATAAAAAGCTAATCAGTCGATCGGATAAATAATTGAAATTATTAATTTTTTTTCTAAATGTCGTAGGAATTTTTGCGAATGGCGGGCACGATAACTCAAAAACTAATAATCCAATCGATTTAAAATTTTGGGACGTTTCTCTGTGAGTGTATAGCTATCGTATGAACTAGGATAAAGCCAATCGGTGAATATCTTCCTTATTGTTTAACTTAGTTTGCTGTCAAAAATAGGCGATTTTTCAAAAAAAAAAATTTTAAATTTCCGTCATTTTGTTAATTGTCGTGCGAAATCAATAATCCTAGTTCATACGAGAGCCAGACAAGTACTCTTTCTAACACCGTTTTGAATTTTCGGATTCTGATGTTCCAGTGAGGAGTTCCCTTAAGTAAAAAATATAGGGAAATAGTCAACAACAACAATCATAAGGCAAACAAATCATGAAAAATCTAAAATTTTTAAGAATATTTTTCAAAGATCAATACAAGGCGTGGATTTTTTAAAGAATATTTTTCAGGGACCAAAACATGGCGTGGATTTTTTAAAGAATATTTTTCAGGGACCAAAACATGGCGTGAATTTTTAAGGAATATTTTTCAGACCCCAATACAAGGCGTGGATTTTTTATAGAATATTTTTTTTTAAGAATATTTTTCAGACCCCAATACAAGTAGTGGCTTTTTTTTTATAGAATACTTTTAGGGGATCAATACAAGGCGTGGATTTTTTAAAGAATATTTTTCAGACCCCAAAGAATGCGTGGATATTTTTAAGAATATTTTTCAGACCCCAATACAAGGCGTGGACTTTTTAAAGAATATTTTTTGGGGCCAATACAAGGCTTGGATTTTTTAAAGAATATTTTTCAGACCCCAATACGAGGCTTGATTTTTTAAGGATATTTTTCAGACCCCAATACAAGGCTTGATTTTTTAATGAATATTTTTCAGACCCCAATGCAAGGCGTGGATTTTTTAAAGAATAGTTTTAGGGTCCCATACAAGGCGTTGATTTTTTAAATAATATAAAGGACCACGATCTGCGAATCTGCACTTGGAATGTGCGCACGTTGGACAGAAATGCGATGGAACAACCCTGCAGACTGTAGCAACACGTAATGCAATCCAGAATTATCGGGGGAAAAAAGAAGAAAGAACAAGAAAAACATGAGCTTGAGCAAAGCAGAACTATTCAAGACTGATGGTCATGCATGCTCCAGCTGATTAGTACAATTTGGCTAGAGGAATGCATGGCCAACGATGGGAACCACAGCATCCTGTATCCCGTGCACAAAAAATGAGACAAGACGATATTTGCCAACTATAGAGGAAAAAGTGACCTTCCCATCGCATATAAAGTGTTATTTTTGGATCTTATCAATGCGGCTTCAGATCTGGCAAATCCATCATTGAACAGATTTTCATCCTGGAAAAGACCCACGAAAAACACATTGACACATTCCACCTATTCGTCGACTATAAAGCCGCATTCGACAGCCCAATCCGCTCGGAGGTGTTTTAATCCATGTCTGTGTTTGGCATTCCGGCAAAATTAATACGGCTATGCAGTATATTTTAACTGGCACAAAGTCAGCGGTTTAAGTCGGAAAGGATCTGTCGGAGCCCTTTTATACCGAACGAGGATTCAGGCTAGGTGACAGTTGGTCGTGTGATCTCTTTAACATCCTGCTGGGAAAGGTCATACGAGAGGCAAATGTGAACAGAAATGACACTCTGTACACATGTTACTCGCCTACGCCGATGACATCGATATAATGGATCGTACATTGCGAGCGGTAACAACTGCCTTTGAACAAATTGAGAAGAGTTTGCCAAGTGGCCTGGCAGTAAATGGCGAGAAGTCCAAGCTGATGGTATCAACGCACAAGACGTCCAGTAGACTCGGGCCAACTGTGGAACTTGAAACGTACAGTCCCGAGGTAGTCAAAGATTTTATATACCTTGGTACCGCCCTAAATAAAACGAATGGCATCAGTTTTGAAATTCGGAGAAGGATAATTTTGGCCAACAGAGGTTACTATGGTCTAAGTAAGCAGTTTAGAAACAAGACCACCTCTCGCCAGACTAAACTTACAGTCTACAAAACGCTGATACCACCCGTGCTGTTGTATGGATCTAAAGCATGGGTATTTGCGCAGGCAGATGATGCAGCTTTTAGAGTGTTTGAGAGAAAAATTCTCCAATCTGAGTCGACGGTGAATATCGTCGTCGTCGAATGAAAAACGTATCGAGCTGCAGCGACTACATTGGGTAGATCATGTTTTGGGAATTGATGAGGATGCCCCAGTTCAAAAGGTTTATAAAATCGAGTCAACTTATGGTTCACGTAGAAGGGGATGCGGCCACGAATTCGATGGAAAGATCAAGTGGAAGACAACATCTCGGAACATGATATTTCACGCCGGCACTGGAATTCTTTTTTAAGCTCGACTTATGAAACAAATGTTCCACCACAAGCCATCTAAGTAAGTAGGTATTTTAGTAGGCATATTTACTAACCAATGAGAATCCAAAAATACTAAATTAGCACCAATTCTCCTCTAATCGACATAGAATATTTATCTGATCAGGAATAGGGAGGGTTTCAGGTTAATATTTTGGAGGTGATGCAAACTGAATGACATATTTAATGGAAGTATATACAAAAATCGCCTTTATTAAACTGTGAAATGAAAAAACTATTTTTCATGTACATCTTAGATTGAAAATATAAGCACTTTTTGAATGGGTTCGACTTTAAATTTAATATGAATGACTGTAATTTTTATTATAAAAAAAATAAACCTTACCCAAAAAAATTGTATTGAGTTTTCTTGATATTTACATTGTCTGTACCATATTTGAAAATCCAAATTTCAGAATAATTAGATTTCACACACTTACTTTTACGATAAAGCATTTGGAAACGTCGTTCGTTTTAGTACGCGTATTATATATAATTCAGATTATAAATTAAAATGTTATTGATTTAAAATTTTTAATAAAAAATATTACAACAAACCCTGCTTAATTATAACTAAGCCAAACAATATTAAAACAACAATAACAATTATTATTATAACCCATGAATATTGAACAGTTCGTTGAAGAAAATCAATCATCATACATTCAACAGAGAAATTTAGGATTATTCGATTTTCACAATTTAAAATAAACAAATAATAAACAACATTAAAAATTCTCAACAAAATTAACTACATATTTCAAACGAATTTAAAAATCAGTACTGCCCAAAAAATTAACTACTTACAGTGCCAGGTTTTGCCTAGTTTAAAAAGAGAAATATAAATATTTAAGAAAAAAAAGAACAAAATAATGTTACAATTGAATTTAAAGAGAATTTCACACAAAACAATGAGGATTTACATAATACAAAAAAAGAGGATCTACAAGAAAAAAAACTAAAGAAAAATAAAAAAACAACAACAAAAAGTTAAATAAACAACTACAGGGATGGTAAACAGACAGACATTTTTTTATCCAAAAAATAATCAAAATTTGGAAAAAATATTTGAAAAAAAAATAATTTTTAGTTCGATGAAAAATCATAATTTAGATAAAAATTCCAGTGAACACAATTTTTGCTATTAAAACAATAATTTTTATTTGAAGGGAATTTTGAGGTTATTCAAAAAACTACCAGGGAAACCAGTAAGGAAAGTAGTAAAGTCGGACTGGGCCGACTATATGATACCCTTCACCACTTTGGGTGTATTGTACATATGTATCCTTACACTTGCATGTCAATGTTCATTCGATGAAACGTACTCATGTCTTTCTGCAAGCTGTGGTAAATTTAATTTCATTCGGGCAGATTTAGAGTCGTCTGCGTAACATGGCTAAATCTAAACCGATTTTCACGGAACTTAACACACGTCATTCGAGACTTAATTCAGTACACTAAGCAAAATTGCATGCAAATCGAAAGATATGTAGGGACTTGGTTGCACCATTTACATAAAATCGGACGAAAGTATATATGGGAGCTATATCTATATCTAAACCGATTATCACGATACTTAGCACACATCATTCTGGACTTAATTCAGTACACAATGCAAAATTTCGTACAAATCGAAAGATATATAGGGACTTTGGTGCACCATTTACCTTAAATCGGACGAAAATATAAATGGGAGCTATATCTACATCTGAAATGATTTTCACGAAACTTAGCACACATCATGTTGGACCTAATTCAATACCCTATGCAAAATTTCGTGAAATCGAAAGATATATAGGGACTTTGGTGCACCATTTACGTAAAATCGAACTAAAATATATTTGGGAGTTATATCTATATCTGAACCGAAATTTCCCAATTTTAATAGGACTCGGCCATGGGCCAAATTAGTGAATTGTGCCAAATTTCATCCAAATCGGATCATAAATGCGACCTGTACCTTGTTTACAATTTAACATCTTAACGATGTCAATCGACTCAGAAAGTGATTCTATGCATATTCTCAAAAGGAACCATGTGTCTATCTCGTTTCCTTTTGCCTGTTACAAACATATGCACAAAGACATAATACCCTGTACCACAGAGTGTGGTGAGGGGTATAAAAAGAAATTTGTATTTATTTTTTGAGGTCATCTAGGGCGAAAAAGATTTTTTTCAAAAAAAAAAAATAAAATAAATAAATAAAATTTTGAATTTAGTAGAAAGAAAAATGTTAGCAAGAAAATTATATGTATGTGTATAAATAGGAATTGTGAACCCTGTGTATTTTGTATGCATTATGTGTGCAAAATAAAATTAAACATTCTGTATAGATTACGAACATGCCAATTATTATTTTTACTAACTACTTTTTGTCAGTTGTGAAAATATGAATGCAATTTTTTGTTTATATAAAGAAGTGTAATATATTTTTTTTTTTTTGTTATTAGTTAGCTATTTTGTCTTGCAATATAATAAAACATACATACGTATGTCGTATATATATTTTTTCTTTCAAAAAAATCATGTACGAAAATAACTTACGTTGTGTTTCTCATCGAAGGCTTTTCCCTGGGATTATGTATGTTAATTGTATTTTGTTTACAATTTTTGTTTGTGTTGTTGCAACCAATTTTTAGTTTTTTATTTTATTTTTTTTAATATTTGTTTGTTTTTTTAATTGTACGTGGACATTGGAGAGGAGGACAACATTAAATGGTAGTCGTAGGTTATGGTTTGTATGATTAGAGGGGAAAAAACAAAAAAACATATGGACAAAAATAAACATCAATTATACTGGGAAATATTCCATATCAATATCAAAAGCCAATTCAGTAAGACAAACAAAAAAGGATAAATAAATAAATATACTCTCAAATCTCTATACCCAATTGTTTCTTCATTATCATCATCATCAATCATTTCATCGACAGTACACCAGAAACCCTAATTTTTCTTATTATTATTACAACTTACCTGGAAGGCAGAATAACGACCTGCACGTCTGGGCCTATTATAACTTGGCAAATAACGGCGTATGGGATCCAATTCATTGATATGCAATAAGCCACCAGTTAGTAGCTGGGCTATGATAAACATTGATTGACCCCACAAGAATAGAGATTGGGATGGTGCCTTCATATATGACCCCTCGCCATCTGGTGCATAATACATGGTTACCACCGGATCACCATGACAATCTATATACAAGCATGGTCTCAACTCATTTTGATATTCTTCAATTTGTTCGGTGTTATTTTTGAAAACACCATCAATGATCATCGATATGAAAAACATGGGCCATTCACATTCATAACCTTCAAATTCTTTAATTTCACCAGTGTGATAATATCTGCAAAAGAAAAGGATAATAAAAATGTAATTCAATTCAATTATTTTTTTTAATACATACCTCCTCGTTTTATCTTCATTTTTACTAAGGAAGCCATCACGTGAGAATCTCTTAAAACCCCTTTTGCTACGTAAGCGATTTATAACATTATTTTTGGTTTGCTCCACCAAGCGTTCTTCGTGTGAGGCAAAGGCTGGGAAGGATAATGTCAAGAGCAATGATGCATCAACACCCTAAAAAGATGAAAGACAAAATAATTAAAAATATTGCAGGTGAACATTTTTTAAAGAATATTTTTTGGATATCAAGGGAATGCAAGGACTTTTAAAAAAATATATTTCAAGGACCAAAAGAAAGCAAGGATTTAAAAAAACAATATTTTTCAAGGACTTACCTTACTACTCGATTCCCTTGGCAACATCGTTTCAAAAATACTGCGATTACGATTGTGAGCATCAATATCAACATAAACCACACTCCAAGAGGCACCTTTTTCACCAAATAAATTACAACCATTAATGGCTTCCAAAGCCGATTTGGCCATGCCTATTGAAGATGCATGAATTTCTGGTGTGCCATTATTATATTTCGAGCCACGTTCCCACATGCCAAAATCGGGTGTACGATAGGCACGTTCAACATAGTAAACTAAATTTTGGACAAAGGCCACCTCATCCTGTAATTTAAATAAATTAATATTAGATTACAAAAAATAGTTTATAAAAAAAATCCACCTTACCTGTGTATAAATAATTTGCAATCCCGATGTTATCATCTGTACCAAAAATATCAAATACAACGATACCACATCGATTTGCAAATGATTATACAAATCATCCGAATAAATTATTTCACCGGTATGCAAATGAAATTTACTATGTAAGGCATGTTGATTTGATTGTCGCTGTTTGAAAAGTTCAACCCGCGATGCCTGTTTTATCCAACATTCGAGTATGCCACGCATACACTTGACAGTCGATTGCCCCAATTCATAGGATTTACCACGATCATCATCGATACGACGATAGGCTTGATATAAACTCCATACAGCAGCAGCACAATAGACACTATCACGTACACTGCCCACCTCTTGATCAATACTCGTCACGGGAAAGAGACCCGTAATGGGACTTTGAAAACGCAACAATTGTCGTTTAACTGAAATTAAAAAAAGGAAATAGAAAATTAGAAAATATTTTAAAGAATAATATTTTGAATGTCTATTATCAAAACTTAGATTTTAATGAACATTTTTTCGAAGATTTATAAATGCGTAGATTTTTTAAAAATATTTTTTCGAAGATCTATAAAATTTAGATTTTTTAATGATAATTTTTTCGAAGACCTATCAAAGCGTAGATTTTTTAATGAATATTTTTTCGAAGGTCTATAAAGGGTAGATTTTTTTAATGAACATTTTTTTTTTGAAGATCTATAAAAGCGTAAATTTTTAATGAATATTTTTCGATCATCTATAAAAGGGTAGACTTTTTAAAGAGTTTTTTTTAAGTTCTATTAAAGCGAAGATTTTTTTAAAAATATTTTTTTTCGAAATTCAAAATTTTGAATGAAAATTTTTTCGAAGATCTATCAAAGCGTCGATTTTTTAAAGAATAATTTTTCGAATATCTATCAAAGCGTATATTTTTTATAGAATATTTTTCGAAGTTATATCAAAGCGTCGATTTTTTAAAGAATGTTTTTTTTCGAAGTTATATCAAAGCGTAGGTTTGTTTTTGAAAAAATATTTTTTCGAAGTTCTATCAAATCGTAGATTTTTCAAAGAATATTTTTTTCGAAATTCAAGATTTTTTAAATAATTTTTTTTTGGAATGTCAAGATTTGTTAAAGAATATTTTTTTCGAAATTCAAGATTTTTTTAAAGAATATTTTTTCGAAGTTCTATCAAAAAGTAGATTTTTTCAGAATATTTTCAGGGTCCCAAATAAGAGGTGGATTTTTTTAATTAATATTTTCAGGGATCCAAATAAGACGTGAATTTTTTAAATTTTTTAATTAATATTTTCAGGGACATAAATAAGACGTGGATTTGTCAAAGGATATTTTCAGGAACCCAAATAAGGCGTAATTTTTTAAAGGATATTTTCAGGGACCCAAATAAGAGGTAAATTTTTTAAATAATATTTTCAGGGATTTTTTCTTTGACCCAAAGAAGTTGTAGATTTTTTCTGGAATCCAAACAAATCCTAGATATTTTCTGGGACCCCAACAATGAGTATATTTTTTTTCTGGGGCCGAAATAAATCGTATCTTTTTCTGGAATTCAAAGAAGGAGATTTTGGAGTAGTAGATGTATAGTGGTTTTTGGAACCGATCATGGCTAGAGAGAAGTCGTAGATATTTTCTAGGACCCAAAGTTGATTTTGAGTGGATATTTTTAAAATTTTTTTTCGGATTCCCAAACAATCTATGGATTTCTTAAAGAATATTTTTAAGGGAACTATCCTAAAATTGTCTTGATTTTGGTATTTTATCTTATTCTCTACTAAAACACCCAAAGTAAAAAACGACGTCTTTTTTCAAAATAATTTGAAGTCCAAATTATCGAAATGTTTTTCATAAAATTATTTTGAATTAATAACGTTTAAAATTTCTTAATAATTTTTTGAAAAAAAAAAAAAATAATAAATAGTTTTCAATTAATTAAATGCAATTGCGAAGAACGACGCCGTTGTATCGAACAAATTGACTAAGTCAATTTTTCAATAACATTTTAATATAAAAAATTAAACCTAACTACAGCCGTAATGAGAAATAATCCATAGATTAAAATATTTTCTAAAGGGTCACTTTTGTAAAAATGACTTACAAAAAAATCCAAATATTTACTTAATAATATTGGTATAAAAAATCTCAAGTAAATAAATCAAAACGAACATAATCACTTCTAGCAACATATCGTCGGTTTTTGTACAATAAACAAATAATATATGTATGTGCATACACACATATGTACGTTTGTACAATCGACAAGATGCCAATCGAGTATATGGGTTTGCTGCCTGCATATGTTCCCGAGACACACAAAAGGGGAATACAACTCATATTATATAATTTAATAATAATTAAAAGAGACAAGGAAAAAAATGATGCTCAACGGGAAAACTTACCAATTCCATAGTAAATATCCAATTGTTTACTATAAAAAAATATGGAAACAAAAAACAATTAATAATTAATACAAATTAACACCAGCAACAATTTATACATACACAGTATCTTCATAGTTGGATGTCTTTAGAAATGAATCCAAATTAATATCTTCCAAACTATTGTGTCTTCCTGATGTTGATGGTGCTCCCGAATTGAGTCCACTATCTGGTGCATTGAATGTAATGCCCAAACTATGGAAAATGAAAAAAATAATTTAAAACCTTTAATATTTGGTATTTGTTTGCTCTTACGTTTTGGGTGGATCTCTCATTTTGTCGTTTATCGGAATTAATTAAAGATTTTTCAACTGACGTTTGTTTTTTCTTCTGCTGCTGTTAATTATTGTTTGGTTTTTTTATTCAGATGAGATTTGCTTGTGTTCCCATAGCTGTGTGTAAATACCCTTGTAAAAGTCAAATTTGACATATAATGACAAACAGCTGATTGCAACAGCATGATTTGGTTATGATTTGTTTTGCTAGTTGGCGAGTACTGGGTGACTCATGTGAACATAAAAGTGGTATTAACAGTAATGGTTATAATTCTTCGACGAACACAGTCCGCATTGTTTATAACGCATGATCAAGGGACTGAGAAAACTGATGGCTATTAAGCCATATCAAGTAGAAGCTAGATTTTAAATACCATCTTTATAAGTGATGCTGAGAGATATTCCATGAAGAAATATTTGCTTTCTACAACTTTCTTCGCACGCAGATTTAGTAATGTGATGCGTAATGCGTAACCAATTTTATGTTCGGTCATTTTTAAAAAAATAATTTGGCATGCTCATATTGAGTATTACGTTGGAATCAAGGCTTATAAATAAGGTCGCCCCGGGAAACCAGTTGTAGATCAGCTGCCTCTTAAGATTGCGGTCAAAATCTATTATTTTGAATTGACTTTTATTATGAAAACGTAAACAAAGACCACATTTTTGATATTAGACTTGACAAAAAACAGCCGACGTTCGCTAGCTGAGTGACTTTATTGACAGATCTTGGTTGGAATCAGCTGGGTTTTGCTGTTACAATTTTTAATTGTAATATGGATCTATTAAAAAAAGTGGCTAAAAGGCAACCAAACAAGAAAAAAGTGTCAGTTGGTGTTGCTAACAGATATATACACCCAGCCTATGGTTGGCCGAGGTTTTATATGAGGTATACATTTTCTATCAAAGAGGTTTCGGACTTATTGTTGACCATATCGGTTATTCAATTAGCTTCAAATTAAATTTACTAATTTATAAAATATTTACCCTTTGTGGAGAGCTACCAGAAGGAGAGGGACGATGGCTCCCTGATATAGGCTTGGTAAATATAATAGGTTGTGCAAAGATTGGTTCAAATCGGACAATTCATTCGCCTGATATAGTATTTATAAATATAGAAAACGTTGACCATTTGTGATGGAGGTACAAGAAGGAGTGGACAAATGGGTCCGATTTATCAACTTGATCTAGGCTTGGTAAAGGTAAATAAAAGGCTTCTGATCCATACAACAGTACGGGTAGTATCAGCGTCTTGAATAGTGTGATTTTGCTCTGGCGAGAGGTTGAATTATGTATAAATTGCTTACTTGGACCATAGTAGCATCTTTTGGCATAGTTTTGGCTTTTTCCGAATTTCAAAACTGATGTTATTAGTTTTATTTATGGGGGTACCAAGGTATATAAAATCTTTGACTACCTCTAAGCTGTAGTTTTCAAGTTTCACAGTTGGTCTGAGAATACTGGAAGTCTTACGCGTTGATACCATTAGCTTGGTTCAAAAGTGGTCGTTAGCGCTTGCAATGATCGGCCCATTATGTCAATATCATCGGCGTAGGCGAGTAACATGTGTTGTTTGGTGCGCAGAGAATAATTTCTGTTCACTTTTGCATCTCGTTTGAGCTTTTCCAGCAGGATGTTAAAAATCTCACACAAAAAACTGTCACCTGAATCCTCGTTCGGTATTGAAGGACTCCGAGATGTTCTTTCCTAATTTGACTGCTGGCCTTGTGCCACTTAAAGTTATCCTGCATAGCCATATTAATTTTGCAAGAATGCCGAACGCAGACATGGCTTTAAAAACTTCTGAGCGGATTGGGTTGTCGAATGCGACTTTGTCGATGTATTTTTCGTGAGTCTTTTTCAGGATCTGACGTAGAGTGAAAATGGTGGATTTTCCAGCTGCATTAGTATGGTCCAATAATGTCATTGACCATTGGAAGGAAGGTGACTAATTCCTCTATAGTTGACACATCGTTTTGTCTCCTTTACATACATTCATATAGCCAAATTGTACTAATCAGCATGCATGCACCTGATCACCATCTGACCACCCGCTTTGAATAGTTCGGCTGGTAACCCATCGGCACCTGCTGCTTTATTATTCTTCAGCCGATTAATTGCTATTCTGTTCCTGTCTGTAACTGTCTCCAGTTTTCCTTCTCCATCTCTACAAGAGGATGTGCCTGCAACAAATCCTTCGTTTTGTTGTTTTACTCGTTGGTGAATTCTGGAGACGTGGTCTTTTATTCTCCTGTTAACCAAAAATGCGCAGACAAATTCAGGTCTCGTTTCATAGCATCTATAATACAGCGCATAATCATCTGATTTACTTACGCCAGACCCCTGTCATCGCATTTTCAGTAAGGCCATTATATCGGCTTTGGTTTGGAATTCCGGGCTTCCCCATATTAAAGCCGATCAGAGCCGTTGCTTGGTACCTATCCCTGTAAAATTACAAATGCTACAAAAAAATGTCGTGAACAGACACAGCTATTATTGACAGACAAAAAACAGCTGTTTTCACACACACACTTGTTCTCTCTCCCTCTGCCGAGAACACATAATTCTCAATAATAAACAAAAGTAAACATTATCCAAGAGAGAAACATTGGAGAAGTCATGCCAGCAGCCGGACACATCAACAATTGTTAACCTGAAACATTAAACGAGGCTGCTATTAAACACCAAAGTAAATGGCAAAAGTGTACTTTTTGCCAACAACAACACGATTAACAACAGGTACGGCTTAGAGCAAAACAACAACAACAAGAAGGGAATAAGCAAGCAAATAATCAGAAGAAAAAATCCAAAACAATACAGAATGAAATATTTAAAGCAGCAGCGTCGCCACTACCACCACCATCATCATCATGAGCAACACCGCAGTCAAACAGCAGAACAGATGGAAACCAGATTTATTGTACCGCACAACACAGCATAGTATCGACCACGAACGTTCGGCTTGATATTGCTTGCTATCAGTTGCTGGAATATTGTTAAGCGCATCAAATAACAATAAACGAAGAAGAACAACGCTACGGTGTGCGACGAGTGGATTAACAACAGAAGAGGCTATCCGAACGACGATACAAACTATTTACAATGTATTTTTAATATTTTGATTGATTGCTTGCTTGCCCACAACACGAACGATAATGTGGTGGAAAAAAGCCGGTATCTGAATAGTTTTGTAGAGGTAAACAAACAAATAATTACAGAATCTGTGAAATTCAAATTCAAGTGTGAGGTCATCATCATCAACAAAAAAAAAACTCCACTCGAAAAGCTGTGGATTTCGGTTGCTTCGTGTGTTGAAGGTGTTTTACAAGGCATTCGATTAACTTTGTTTGCTCCCTAACTTCACGATTGTTGGCTGTTGCAGCACCACCACAAATCCAAGGCCAGGCCAACAAAGTGATTGTTATAGCGTTGTTTTTGTAGATTGGCTGCTAAAAATAAGCGGCAACCGGGAATGTGAGAAGTGTTGAGCAGTTCTCAGAATACCAGCATTGTCAGCTTTTCAACTTTGCCAGTTGCGGTATATGGACGCACTACAATAGAAAAGAAATTCTATTCCAAATTTGAGAAATCAGAAATAGACGAAGAAACAGAAATACCACTATACCGACCTCTATAGCTGCGAACAATGGAGAAATTTCCATTACTCACAAGCATAACGGTGCTGATACTGGCGAGCATTGTTTTGTGGCCGGCACTGCCGTGTTTGTGCGATTGTGATGTAGAGCAAAGCCTAGCTCTGCCGGATCTGCCATTAGAGCATTTGAAACGCTACATCAACACATTCGACAAAGTCAAACAACAGTATCAGAACAAAACGGAACTGCTGCAGAAAATCGTACAAAAAGACAATAAAGGCTGTTGGGGCCATGAACCGGACTGTGCCAAAGAGAATCGTTTTCAGACACCCATCTGCCCCGGCTCACATACGGGATGGATGCGAAACAAGGAGGCCCAAGTGGAGACCTTTTACGAACAGGCAGATTTCGGTTACATAAAACATCAAATTAAAGAAATGAAATTAATGTGTGAACCCAAACTCATTACGGACTCCTCACTGGAATGCACGGAATATATGAGATTTTGTCGTGGCCGTTATCTTATGTTAGATTTCCGAGACTTGGCCAAACGTCCGGAACGTATACGCTATCACATGGATGTATTAAAGCTAGGACAAATTCAAGGCTATTGTCAGTTGAATGAAACACGTCTCAAATCCCAGCTAGATCATATGGGTGCCCTACAATCATGGTCACCGGAGCTGCGAAATTTCATTGAATCCCAGCAACCAATTAGCGAAGACAACGACCAATGTGATATGTTCATAAATACGCCCACATTTCTAATGAAAATCGATGCCACCTACAATATGTATCATCATTTTTGTGATTTCTTTAATTTATACGCCACGTTATTTGTTAATCAAACACACAGTTCGGTGTTCGATAGAAATACCCAGGTGATCGTTTGGGAAACCTATCCGTATGATTCACCATTTCGAGATACGTTTAAAGCGTTTAGCAACAACCCGGTTTGGACATTGGAACAGGTTAAGGGCAAAAGGATTTGTTTTCGGAATGTTGTATTTCCCCTACTGCCGCGCATGATATTTGGCTTATACTATAATACACCAATTGTAAGTAGGAACGAATACAGTTTTGAAAATAATTCTAAATGGTTTGTTTTTTTTTCTTCTTTCAGATCCAAGGTTGTGAAAAAAGTGGTTTATTTAGAGCATTTTCGGAATTTATCTTACATCGTCTCAGAGTACCATTTGTACCGCCAAAGAATAACAAAATACGTATTACATTTTTATCCAGACGTACCAAATATAGGCGTGTAAAAAACGAAGATGAACTATTGGAGGAGATAAGTAAAAATGATGAATTTGTTGTTCGGAAAATTTCATATGAAAGGTAGGTGGAAAACACAAGTGTCAGTCGATGTTTTCGACAGATATATATCCCCAGCCTATGGTTTGTGGAGGTCTACAGAATTATTACACCCTGATTTTTTTATTATTCGCTTTATATATTAGATATATATTTTTATCAAATAATTGACCATCTGTGGAGAGGTACGAGAATAAGTTGCTCTTCAGAAATATAGAAATATGTTTGAATGTTTGTGGGGGAGGTACCAGAAGGAGTGGGTCGTTGGGTCCAATCTTCGGACTTAAACATGTTACGATTTGCAAAGTGTTGATCAAATCAGACATTTCATTCGCTTGATATTTCATTACAAATTTTCAAAATGTTGATTCCTTTGTGGGTAGGTATCAGAAAGAGTGGAACGACGGGTCCCGACGGACGGTTTAATAAAAGTATTATGATTTGCAAAGTTCAGGATCAATATTGATATTCCATTCGTTTGATATTGAATGAAAAAATTTTCAAAATTTTGACACTTTGTTGTGGGGAGGTACCAGAAGGAGCAGATCAATGGGCCCCATCTTCATGATCTAGGATTGTTAACAAATTTAAGATATGTAAAGTTTGGGTTAAATCGGACATTCAATTCTCTTTTGAAAATGTTGACCCTTTGTTTGGAGGTACTAGAAAGAATGCGCCGATAAGTTCCAACTTCCCGAAATATGCAGTCTTGGTAAAAATATTAGGTTATGCAAAATTTGATTCAATTGAATAGTCCATTCGCATATTTCGATATTACAAAATTATTTTTCAGACAAATTTGTTGGGATGTATCAGAAGAAGTGGATCGATATTCCCTATCTTCGATCTAGAACTAAGTTTGAAAGAAATATTACTTTGCGCAAAGTTTGGTTCAAATCAAATTTTGACCTTTTTAAGTTGGAGATACCAGAAGGAGTGGATCGTTATTCCCGATCATCGAACTTCATTAAGGTTTAAAAGAAATATTAAGATGAAAACTATTACTCCGTTCAAAAATTATCGTACACCAGCCGGCCAGAAAGGCAGGCGGACATTTGAAAATCGAACCCTAATTGTTTGTAACGGATTTGTCTAACAAAGAGGGGGTCCAAAATGTAGGCTTATGAAAATATCTATCCTACAAGTGGTAACATGACTTCACCGGGTCAGGTCTTCGCTATACAATACTTGTAGGCAATCTAAATAAAGTTTAAAAAAGCCTTGATAATCAGAATTGTGGAATCGATATATTTATGTTTTAAACAGGCCTTGGAAGGTCACTTCCCATTGAAAGGTGTCTAATTTTTTCTCCAATTTCCGTATCGTTAATTTCCTCGAATACACTCCTCTAAGATTCTCTCTCGCTCTCTCTCTATCCACGACTACTTTCCACTATAACTTACGAATTATTAAAATTATTTAATTCAATTTATTTAATTTATTTCTTTTCAGAGAACTAACCTTCCTCCAACAGCTGGAGGTAACACGCAACACCGACATTCTTATCGGTATGCATGGTGCCGGATTGACACATTTACTCTTTTTACCCGAATGGGCGACACTATTTGAGCTATACAATTGTGAAGATCCAAATTGTTATAAAGATTTGGCAAGACTGCGCGGTATCAAATATATAACATGGGAAGAACGTGACTTGGTATATCCAGAAGATGAAGGTCATCATCCGGAGGGTGGTGCTCATGCTAAATTTACCAATTATGCTTTTGATCCAAAAGAATTTGGACGTCTGGTGGAAAAGGCTGCCGAACATGTACGAAATCATGAAGATTTTCAAAAATACAATCAAGAAGAGGCTTTAATAAAAGATGAGCTGTAAAATGTTACACTTATAGATATTTATATATACATACATTTATATATAACTGTTGAGATTATTGTACTTAAGATATTTTGTGGTATTTTCTTTATTCGATTAATTGTAAGTTGTGTAATTTTATTGAAAATAAAATTGAAAAAAGACAAGTATTTTTTTGATAATCAAAGTAAAATAATGTTTTTATTCCGGCGAATCTTTCACTTTTTATTTAGAATAAAATTATTAAATAATAATGTCATTCATTTGCGTAGGGGAACGGAGTATATTTTATATATGTACGTAAATTTATTTTGAATTTAAATTTTTTTTTGTTTTGTCATACGTATTCTTGTTGCTAAATAATTATTAACAATTTATTTAAAAACCCGTTGCTAATGATGACTAGTTTTTTCTTTGTCTAATCAATATAAACAGTTATTTCAGTCCTTCAATGCTGCATATAATAAAATTTTTATAGCACCGTTTTTGATTTCGTCATATTTTCGAAACATTTTTTATAGCAAATGAAGCAAGACGTTGATTTTTTAAATAATATTTTGCCAAGCAAACAATGCTAGGAGTAGATTTTCTTTAAAGAATAATTTTTTAATGAATATTTTTTGAAGACCAAAACAAGGCGTGGATTTTTTTAAATAGTATTTTTTTGATGCGTGGATTTTTTAATGAATATTTTTTGAAGGCCTGTATTTTCGGAAAAATATTTTTTGAAGACCAAAACAAGGCCTTTATTTTCGGAAGAATATTTTTTTAGGGTCCAATACAAGCCGTAGATTCTTTAAAGACTATTTTTATAAGGCGTAGATTTGTTATAGACTATTTTTAGGGGCCAATATAAGGCGTAGATTTGTTATAGACTAATTTTAAGGGGCCAATATAAGGCCTAGATTTTCATATATTTTTAGGGGCTTAATACGGTGTATATTTTTTAAAGACTATTTTTAGGGGCTTAATACGGTGTATATTTTTTAAAGACTACTTCTATGAGCGAATATAAGACGTAGAATTTTTAAAGACTATTTTAATGAGCGAATATAAGGCCTAGATTTTTTAAAGACTATTTTAATGAGCGAATATAAGGCCTAGATTTTTAAAGACTATTTTTATGAGCGAATATATGGCCTAGATTTTTTAAAGACAATTTTTATGGGCGAATATAAGGCCTAGATTTTTTAAAGACTATTTTATAAGCGAATAAAAGGCCTAGATTTTTTAAAGTCTATTGTTATGAACGAATATAAGGCGTAGATTTTTTAAAGACTATTTTTAGCGGCCAATACAGTTGTGGTTAACAGTTAACAGATATTTTTAAAGTTCAAATACAGTTGTGGATTTTTAACGGATATTTTTGAAGTTCAAATACAGGTGTAGATTTTTTTACGGACATTTTTCAAGTTCAAATACAGGTGTGAATTTTTTTAAGGGATATTTTTCAAGGTCAAATAATGGCGTAGATTTTTTACAGAATATTTTTAAAATTTTTGCACATACATTTTTGCTACTAATCATAGATTTTTTGATGCAAAAAACTGTCATATAAAGGAACCACCTCTTTTTATGCCCGACACACACATGTTGTTAGGTTATACTGGTTTGTAATGCCACGAAATAGGATCTAGGTTTTTTCTTGTTGCTCTACAGACCACAATTGTGATCCGAACATATGCTAGGGGATCTGCTAAACATCTGCCAACATCTTGATATCGTATATTTTTACCTCGGAAAGAGATAGACAGAAGAAGTTGACAGTATATACAAGTTTTTCTAATCACTCGACAGATTATATTTATGATCCAAATATCATGAACTTTTACAAAGGAAGTGAATATGGATAAAACAATTATACAATTAGGTTAGGTTTGGGGATGTGCAGTCACTGATGTGGCTGCACCACTCTGAGACCGTCAGGCCTATTGTGACCATCCACGAAAAGAAAAAAAAACTATGGAGAAATCTATGGGGGGGATAGAGAGAGGTTGCACTTTCCCAACTACTTTAGGTTTTTAATGATGCTGTAGATTAGAGCAGGTTCAGTTGTTGAGAAGAAACTAAGACTCGGTGGAAAGTGAGCTGCCACTAGTCTGTGTCGTCTATACGCCAGGACTGGGCAGCGACACAGGAGATTCCCAATGCCCTGATATTGTAATGACCAGTAATGATTCCTGTCATTACTCTTATTTCAGTTTGGCTCAGGTTCAACAGTAAGTGTGTCATTTTGGTAGACAGAGTCGGCCGAATAGATATTGACACATTGCACCTAAATTCGTTGTGGCATAGTTCATAGGCTCTTTCGTCGAAGAACACCTCAAAGTTCCGATAAAGATGACATATGGGTGGTTTGCTCAATCAAACCACCTATATCGGGTAGGGTATCGTATTACACGGCCAATTACACTAATCCACTCACTCCGCTCTGCTTCCAATATGGTTTCATTATAATAAAAAAAAAAATTTGTTAGTAACATTTTGCTTGTAATAATGGTCAAATCCTTTTCAATTTATTTTCCTACAAAAATCAGTTTTGTTTAGTTAAATATTTCCTGTGTTCAGTTATTAAACGAATGTCAAATGAACACAGCTACATAACAGTTGCTTCATTTGTCGATCTGTGGTACCCTATATTATTGTTGTCATGATTTCTCATATTTTGCAACTATCATTAATAACTAAATAGAAATAACTAAAATATTTGTTATATTTTAGTTATTTGAGGTCATATATATATTAATTTAAAATAATTTTAAAATATTTAAATATTCAAATCGACTTACGTACCTCTAATATGATCAGCTGTTATTCACATTTCTTTATATCTCTTTCGTAAACATTTTCATCCATCCGCAATTCATATCATTTGGGACGTTTTTATACATGTTCGGCCGTAGCTCCAGTTTGTTTGATGGATTGGTTTTAAAGTTCACCTATAAATATTGAAAAAAAATAACATAATTGAGATACCCAATATTGCGTGTCTCCATATCGATTAGTAATCCAAACAAAAAACACCTATACATCTAACAATTACATTTAACCGGAAAACTACTTGAGAGTACACCTCCTCTAGCTCCAAAAGATCTGAAGTGCCGGTAATCTTATCATGACGGACGAAAAAAATACATTTGAAAACAATTGTGACGATAAATACCAGTGTCGAAGTCCCAACGATGATGAGTACTATTGTAATGCTGAGCCTACCGGGGTCTATAATGGCGGTTGCCTATCATTGGCCCAACAATTGTTGGCATGCCGTTTTCATGATCACCAGTCAGCTGTTTGTGGGGCCAAATCAACAACGGCTGGCCATAGTACAGCAAATGAGCAGAACGACGATACATCCCGCCGAATGGATATATACGAAAAACACTCGGAAGAAACGTTAATTCGAATATGGCACATACAGTGTACCATTGTGGTGACGTTAATAGCCATAGCATTGGCTCGTGTGGCGGTTCACAATAAATTCATAACAGCCCCAAAGGTGTCAAGGAATGGGGGTGGTGGGGCGATGTCATCATTCATGAAAGTGTTTATATTAGAATTTCTGGTGATCTCATTGCCAGCTGTTGTAAGTGTAAATATTCTAAACAGCTATGTTGAGTATATTTTGGCAATTGCCATAATGGCGCTGATTGCAATTGTATGGCGCTCAAAGTGTATGGAACGAGCCAGCGAACGTGTATTTGAATTTGGTCGCCGACCTATAATATTTACACTACTACGCGCCACCATTAGCCTATTGACCGCCCTGTGTATATTAGCCATTGATTTTGAAAGTTTCCCAAAGAAATTTCGTAAAACTAGACGTTATGGTGCCGGTCTTATGGATGTTGGTATTGGTCTATTTGTTTTCTCCATGGCCCTGGTATCACCTAAAGCGAAACGGTTAGTGGATTTAAGGAAAATGCTCGTACCCATTGCTTGTATGTTAATATTGGGTTTGGCTCGTACCATTGTCATAACCACGATTGATTATCATCAGGATGAACACGAGTATGGGGTGCATTTGAATGCATTCTTTACATTGGGTTTGACGAAACTATTTGCAACCGGATTGGGATTTATGGCCAGCAGTGATAAACATTTGTTGCCAATGGGTATTGGTAAGTAGCAGCTATAAATATACTACATAAATATGTATACAAATACGAATGTATGTATATATTTTTGAATACTTCCTCTTTAGTTTATATGTTTCGATAATGTGTAGAGATATTGATAACAATAATCATCAATTGATTGCTGGAAGGTTTCGTATACGATTGAATTGTAAATTTTGGAAATATTTGTGTACTTTGATAATCAAAATAATGGGGAATATGATTTGAAATACTTTTTTGTTTGTTTTCTATAATACATTATGGTACTAATTATAGTCTCTCTCATAGACAAAATATTTATATACACGCCTTGGGTACCCCAAAAAATATTCTTTAAAAAATCCACGCCTTGTTTGGGTACCCCAAAAAATATTCTTTAAAAAATCCACGCCTTGTTTGGGTACCCCAAAAAATATTCTTTAAAAAATCCACGCCTTGTTTGGGTACCCCAAAAAATATTCTTTAAAAGATCCACGCCTTGTTTGGGTAGCCAAAAAATATTCTTTAAAAGATCCACGCCTTGTTTGGGTAGCCAAAAAATATTCTTTAAAAGATCCACGCCTTGTTTGGGTAGCCAAAAAATATTCTTTAAAAGATCCACGCCTTGTTTGGGTAGCCAAAAAATATTCTTTAAAAGATCCACGCCTTGTTTGGGTAGCCAAAAAATATTCTTTAAAAGATCCACGCCTTGTTTGGGTAGCCAAAAAATATTCTTTAAAAGATCCACGCCTTGTTTGGGTAGCCAAAAAATATTCTTTAAAAGATCCACGCCTTGTTTGGGTAGCCAAAAAATATTCTTTAAAAGATCCACGCCTTGTTTGGGTAGCCAAAAAATATTCTTTAAAAAATCCACGCCTTATTTGGGTACCCAAAAATATTCTTTAAAAAATCCACGCCTTATTTGGGTAGCCAGAAAATATTCTTTAAAAAATCCACGACTTATTTGGGTAGCCAAAAAATATTCTTTAAAAAATCCACGCCTTATTTGGGTAGCCAAAAAATATTCTTTAAAAAATCCACGCCTTATTTGGGTAGCCAAAAAATATTCTTTAAAAAATCCACGCCTTATTTGGGTAGCCAAAAAATATTTTTTAAAAAATCCACGCCTTGTTTGGATACTCCCAAAAAATATGCTTTAAAAAATCCACGCCTCGTTTGGTTACCCCCAAAAAATGTTCTTCAAACAATCCAAGTCTTGTTGGGGTATCCCCAAAAAATATTCTTAAAAAAATTCTAAGCTCTTCTCTACTTCTCTCATAGTATTTGAGGTAGCAGCCAGTTGCATAGAACCCTCTCCCGTTTGAATGATTATTTGTTTGTTGTTGCTGTTAACTATCTTTATCAGTTAGGATTTTATAACTTTTGATTGGCCACCTATCTGGCGAAATATTTACACTAAATATATTTATATACATATATTTTTGACTTATCTGTGCCTTGAATACCATATACTATTTGAAGTTATGTAGGTGTAACAGAGTTGTACACCATTTCGATTCGATAAGTGGTCCTCTATAAAATGTTCATCTTCTGCAAATTTCGATTTCCACATAATGCCGATTCTCCACTATTGTTATCTTTTCCCTTGATTCTATAAGAAGTAGGCATTGAAGCTTAAATAAATTATTTTATTCTGACATTCTATTGCTCATTCTCTTAATACAGTAACATCAATCGGAAATGGTGTTCGTGTTTAACGATATCCGTACCACAAATAATCTTATCAACAATTGCCATAAATCGATCCCCAAATAGATGTAATCAAATAGTTCGCGCAACGCCAAAACATCAACGAAGTTTAGTTAGTCGATTGACCCGCCAGCTGTACGATTTCCTCCAATCTTTTTTTTTTTTTGCTATAGTTCAAAAATACGCGGTGGTATGAACGTGGATTTTTAGCAACTCGCGCGCCCGGTTGAAGAAATTCTTTTTTGTGTCGAATGTCTAATTACGAGATTCATTCATATGCCACATTAATACGCCTATGGCCCATACAGTGTACAATATTAGTGGCCTTAATAGCCATAGCATTGGCACGAATTGCTGTACGTCAGCGGATTTTATGTTCGGCATGGCCACAAGTGTTTGTTTTGGAATTCCTAGTGATCTGCGCGCCAACTGTTCTAAGTGTAAATCTGCTACATAAATATGTGGAATATATTTTGATCGGGGCAATTGTTTTATTGGCCGTGGTGATGTGGCGAACAAAATGTTTGCAACGTGCGGCACGTCGAGAATTTGAATATGGCCAACGGCCGATACTTTTCACCTTGCTGCGATCAAATGTTTATTTGCTGACGGTGTTGTGTATATTGGCGGTGGATTTTAAAAGCTTTCCGCTCGTCTTTCGTAAGCACAGAACTTATGGTGCTGGTCTCATGGATGTTGGTATTGGTCTGTTTGTTTTCTCCATGGCCCTGGTTTCGTCGAGACCGAAACGTTTTACCGATTTACGTAAAATGTTAATAACTGTGGCCTGTATGCTGATATTGGGTTTGGGTCGGACCATAATCATCACTTTGATTGGTTATGGTCAGGATGAACATGAATATGGCAAGCACTTGAATGCATTCTTCACACTGGGGTTTACGAAGCTGTTTGCGACTTTATTCGGATTTTTGGCAAGGTCAAATAAACATTTGCTACCATTGGGATTGAGTAAGTGTATACAAAATTAAACACCAATTTTATAGGGACAAAAAAGACGTGGATTTTTTTAAGAATATATTTTCAAGGCCTAAACAAGGCGTGGATTTAAAAAAAAATAATTTTTCTTCAAGGCCTAAACAAGACCTGAACTTTTTAAAGAATATTTTTTGAAGGCCTAGACAAGGTGTAGATTTTGTAAAGAATATTTATTCAAGGCCTAACAAGGCGTGGATTTGTTAAAGAATATTTTTTCAGGGCCTAACAAGGCGTAGATTTTGTAAATAATATTTCTTTAAGGCCTAGACAAGGCGTAGATTTTGTAAATAATATTTCTTTAAGGCCTAGACAAGGCGTAGATTTTGTAAAGAATATTTTTCAAGGCCTAAACAATGCGTGGATTTGTTAAAGAATATTTCTTTAAGACCTAGACAAGGCGTAGATTTTGTAAAGAATATTTTTCAAGGCCTAGACAAGGTTAAATATAAGACATAGATATTTTAAAGATTATTTTTAGGGTCAAATATAAGGCGTAGATTTTTTAAAGACCAGGTTTAGGGGCCAATAGAAGGCGTAGTTTTTTTTAAAGACTATTTTTAGGGTCAAATATAAGGCGCTGATTTTTTAAAGACTATTTTTAGGGTCAAATATAAGGCGCAGATTTTTTAAAGACTATTTTTAGAGTCAAATATAAGGCGCAGATTTTTAGAGTCAAATATAAGGCGCAGATTTTTTTAAAGACTAGTTTTAGGGGCCAATAGAAGGCGTAGATTTTTTTAAAGACTATTGTTAGGGGCCAATATAAGGCGTAGATTTTTTAAAGACTTTTGTTAAGGGCCAGCATAAGGCGCAGATTTTTTAAAGACTATTGTTAGGGGCCAGCATAAGGCGCAGATTTTTTAAAGACTATTTTTAGGAGCCAGTATAAGGCGTAGATTTTTTAAAGACAATTTTTAGGGGCCAATATAAGGCGTAGATTGTTTAAAGACTAATTTTAGCGGCCAATATAAAGCGTAGATTTTTTAAAGACTAATTTTAGCGGCCAATATAAAGCGTAGATTTTTTAAAGACTAATTTTAGCGGCCAATATAAAGCGTAGATTTTTTAAAGACTAATTTTAGCGGCCAATATAAGGCGTAGATTTTTTAAAGAATATTTTTAGGGGCCAGAATAAGGCGTAGATTTTTTTAAAGACTAAATTTAGGGGCTAATATAAGGCGTAGAGTTTTTAAAGAATATTTTTAAGGGCCAATATAATGCGTAGATTTTTTTAAAGACTAATTTTAGGGGCCAATATATGGCGTAGAGTTTTTTAAGAATATTTTTAAGGGCCAATATAAGGCGTAGATTTTTTAAAGACTATTTTTAGGGTCAAATATAAGGCGTAGATTTTTTAAAGACTATTTTTAGGGTCAAATATAAGGCGTAGATTTTTTAAAGACTATTTTTAGGGGCCAGTATAAGGCGTAGATTTTTTAAAGACTATTTTTAGGGGCCAGTATAAGGCGTAGATTTTTTAAAGACTATTTTTAGGGGCCAGTATAAGGCGTAGATTTTTTAAAGACTATTTTTAGGCCTAAACAAGGCGTAGGTTTTCTAAAGACTATTTTTAGGCCTAAACAAGGCGTAGGTTTTCTAAAGACTAATTTTAGGATAAACAAGGCGTAGGTTTTCTAAAGACTATTTTTAGGCCTAAACAAGGTGTAGATTTTCTAAAGACTATTTTTAGGCCTAGACAAGGTGTAGATTTTCTAAAGACTAGTTTTAGGAGCCAATAGAAGCCGTAGATTTTCTAAAGACTAGTTTTAGGAGCCAATAGAAGCCGCAGATTTTCTAAAGACTAGTTTTAGGAGCCAATAGAAGCCTAGATTTTCTAAAGACTAGTTTTAGAAGCCAATAGAAGCCGTAGATTTTCTAAAGACTAGTTTTAGGAGCCAATAGAAGCCTAGATTTTCTAAAGACTAGTTTTAGGAGCCAATAGAAGCCTAGATTTTCTAAAGACTAGTTTTAGGAGCCAATAGAAGCCGTAGATTTTCTAAAGACTAGTTTTAGGAGCCAATAGAAGCCTAGATTTTCTAAAGACAAGTTTTAAGGGCCAATAGAAGCCGTAGATTTTCTAAAGACTAGTTTTTAAAGGGCCAATAGAAGCTGTAGATTTTCTAAAGACTAGTTTTAGGAGCCAATAGAAGCCGTAGATTTTCTAAAGACTAGTTTTAGGAGCCAATAGAAGCCGTAGATTTTCTAAAGACTAGTTTTAGGAGCCAATAGAAGTCGTAGTCGTAATTTGTTTATAATATTAATTAAAAAATAATTTTTACATATTTTTATTTTTCGTTAATAAATATTTATTTTCTCATTCTTTTTCCAGCGATTTTGATTATACACGAAATAACCCTGCAGTGTGGCATATCTTCCTTTGTATTGAATCCGGATTTGGAACGAACAAATTTCCTAACTGCCAATCGTGAGGGCCTTTGTTCGCTGCCTGGTTTTATTGCTCTCTATTTACTCTCACAATACATTGGACAATGGATCAAATCAAAGGATGTCCTGAATTTCCAAGAAATTAAACAAAAGCTGATACACCTAACAGTTGCCGGTGTTGCACTGTGGCTGATTGTCATCAACAGCACTATGGTAATAGGTATCGCTCGGGTTACCTGTAATTTTGGTTATGTCACCTGGATGTTGGCCATAGCCGTTACCATGTGTGCTTTATATTTATTTGTATTCGATATAGTATTAGACACCCTATTACCGGTTAATGGGGAACCAATAATGGAAATGCGTCAGCCTTCCGAAAAGGTTGCACTAACGTCAAACGTTGGTGGTTGGTCTAAAATTCCCACCCTAATAGAGGCTATAAATTATAATGGTCTAATTTATTTTTTATTGGGTAATGTTCTGACGGGTGCTGTAAATATTTTCCTCAAAACAGATGAGAGAACCGATACAGAAAGTGTGATAATCTTAATGGGTTATATGTTCTTAACAAGTCTAGTGGTTAGTTTAATGTATCGTTATAAATTAAGAATAGCATAATTTGTATTTTATTATTATAAAAAACAACAACAATCATTGAATATATATTGTGATTCATAGTTGACTAATTCTAAACTACTTTTCTAAGTCCCCAAATTTTTTTATGTTTTATGATAATGTTTTATGTTTAGTTATGATAAGACTACATGACCACAAAAATTTAGTGGTCTTTAATTGTTGTGATTTTTAATAAATAGTCAGTATTTGTAGTAGATGTTGTTGTTTTTTTGTTTTCGAACATAAATTGATAATTGGTAGCAATGGAGTTATTGTCAACTCACTGTTGACGAAATTTTTTATCAAATGGTAAAACGTTTTTATCTACTTCGTCATTAAAAAATCAATAATTCAGGGGATTTTTAAAGCATATTGTTAAGGCCTAAATCAAGGGATGATTTTTTAAAGGAAACATTTTGAAGGAAACAATACAAGGCGTGTATTTTATAAAGAATATTTTTTTGCCATAATACAAGGCGTGGGGTTTTTATACCCTACACAACTATGTTGTCAGGGTATTAAAGCTTTGTGCAGCCCCAAAAGTTTGTAACGCCACGAAATATTGGTCCTAGACCCACCTTTAAGTATACCGATCGTCATATCTCGACTAGCTGAGTCGATCTAGACATGTGTGTCCGTCCGTCCGTCTGTCCATTATAATTTGTAAACACGATACAGGCCACAGTTATGGACCAATCTTCACGAAATTTTGAATGTAGGATGGGTTCTGCCCAATGAAGACCCCTATTGTTTTTGGGAAAGATCGGTTAATATTTAGGGGATGAAATGGACCAAATACTAAATTTTTGTCGGTTTTTCTGGTCCTTCCAGAGGCCGCAATAACAGCCCGAACATCGTAAAATTTTGCATAGAGAAGGGGATTGGCCCAAAGAATAAGGATGCCTGTTTTGATAAAGATTGGTCAATATTTAGTGGGTCAAATGGACCCTGACTTTTGTGTGAAAAATGACAAAATTTGTATTCTATAGCGTATATATTTACTCCTGAAGGACATAGACCCGAGAAGTTGATATTATATCCAAGAGGAGTGGTTGACCTTTTAATTAATACCAATTATATTGTTGTATGTGCTCGGATGTGGGAGTCACACCTAAATATTTACAGGCATCTCCGTATTCGTATATTATTTAGTAACCCATTATCACTCTAGAGAGCGGAACTATACCGCTGATCGCTATGAAATGTTCCATAAGGTTCCAGTTATGGTCAAGGACAACGTCTATAATTTTCGGTGATGATCAGATAATAATTTTGGAATGAAATGGACCGAAAACTTAATTTTATGTGTTTTTTCGAGTCGATCTATTGACCGCTCACTGGTTTTAGAATATTTTTTTTGCAATCAATACAAGGCGTGGATTTTTTAAAGTATATTTTTTGGCGATCAATACAAGGCGTGGAATTTTTAAAGAATATTTTTTTGGCCATCAATACAATTCGTGGATTTTTTTAAAGAATATTTTTTGGCCATCAATACAAGGCGTGGATTTTTTAAAGAATATTTTTTGGCCATCAATACAAGGCGTGGATTTTTTTAAAGAATATTTTTTTTGGCGTGTTTTTTTTTAAAGAATGTTTGTTTTGGCGTGGATTTTTAAAGAAAGTTTTTAGGTTACCCAAACAAGGCGTGGATTCTTTAAAGAATATTTTTTGGGTACCCAAACAAGGCGTGGATTCTTTAAAGAATATTTTTTGGGTACCCAAACAAGGCGTGGATTCTTTAAAGAAATTTTTTTGGGGTTCCAAACGAGGCGTAGATTCTTTAAAGAATATTTTTTTGGGGTTCCAAACGAGGCGTAGATTCTTTAAAGAATATTTTTTGAGGTTCCAAACGAGGCTTAGATTCTTTAAAGAATATTTTTTTGGGGTTCTAAACGAGGCGTAGATTCTTTAAAGAATATTTTTTGGCGTTCCAAACGAGGCGTAGATTCTTTAAAGAATATTTTTTGGCGTTCCAAACGAGGCGTAGATTCTTTAAAGAATATTTTTTGGCGTTCCAAACGAGGCGTAGATTCTTCAAAGAATATTTTTTGGCGTTCCAAACGAGGCGTAGATTCTTTAAAGAATATTTTTTGGGGTTCCAAACGAGGCGTAGATTCTTTAAAGAATATTTTTTGGGGTTCCAAACGAGGCGTAGATTCTTTAAAGAATATTTTTTGGGGTTCCAAACGAGGCGTAGATTCTTTAAAGAATATTTTTTGGCGTTCCAAACGATGTGTAGATTCTTTAAAGAATATTTTTTGGCTTTCCAAACGAGGCGTAGATTCTTTAAAGAATATTTTTTGGCGTTCCAAACGAGGCGTAGATTCTTTAAAGAATATTTTTTAGGGTTCGCTCCCAACTATTATTGATGACCTCCACTATACCATTAGGAAGATTAATAGATTATATTCGACCGTAATTTCTTAATAGAAGTTCATGATATGTTTTCTTAATAGTCACTTCTACCCTTGTTACGACTGCAAAAAAAGTCCCTTACACCCAAATTTTAAATCACCACAAAAGTAATGTTCCATTTCACATGTCTTCATCCTACAGTGTGTCAATATGTCATCCAATACCGAAACGGGAACCATTTATTTTTTTTTGTTTCGTCTTATTTAAAGTCTAAATGAATTGATGTGAGGTTGAGTTCCGCTTTCCAATAATAAATTAAAAAGCAAGAACAAGCTAGGTAATACATTGTGGAAGCATTTTTTAATTCTTTCATGAGTCTTGAAAAAAATATTTAAAAAATCCACGCCTTTGGTTTTGAGTCTTAAAAAAAATCCACGCCTTTGGTTTTGAGTCTTAAAAAAAATATTTAAAAAATCCACGCCTTTGGTTTTGAGTCTTAAAAAAAATATTTAAAAAATCCACGCCTTTGGTTTTGAGTCTTAAAAAAAATATTTAAAAAATCCACGCCTTTGGTTTTGAGTCTTAAAAAAAATATTTAAAAAATCCACGCCTTTGGTTTTGAGTCTTAAAAAAAATATTTAAAAAATCCACGCCTTTGGTTTTGAGTCTTAAAAAAAATATTTAAAAAATCCACGCCTTTGGTTTTGAGTCTTAAAAAAAATATTTAAAAAATCCACGCCTTTGGTTTTGAGTCTTAAAAAAAATATTTAAAAAATCCACGCCTTTGGTTTTGAGTCTTAAAAAAAATATTTAAAAAATCCACGCCTTTGGTTTTGAGTCTTAAAAAAAATATTTAAAAAATCCACGCCTTTGGTTTTGAGTCTTAAAAAAATATTTAAAAAATCCACGCCTTTGGTTTTGAGTCTTAAAAAAAATATTTAAAAAATCCACGCCTTTGGTTTTGAGTCTTAAAAAAAATATTTAAAAAATCCACGCCTTTGAATTTAAGTCTTGAAAAAAATATTTAAAAAATGCACGCCTTTGGTTTTAAGTCTTGAAAAAAATATTTAAAAAAATCCACGCCTTTGGTTTTGAGTGTTGAAAAAAATATTTAAAAAAATCCACGTCTTTGGTTTTGAGTCTTGAAAAAAATATTTAAAAAAATCCACGCCTTTGGTTTTGAGTCTTAAAAAAATATTTAAAAAATCCACGCCTTTGGTTTTGAGTCTTAAAAAAAATATTTAAAAAATCCACGCCTTTGGTTTTGAGTCTTAAAAAAAATATTTAAAAAATCCACGCCTTTGGTTTTGAGTCTTAAAAAAAATATTTAAAAAATCCCCGCCTTTGGTTTTGAGTCTTAAAAAAAATATTTAAAAAACCCACGCCTTTGGTTTTGAGTCTTAAAAAAAATATTTAAAAAATCCACGCCTTTGGTTTTGAGTCTTAAAAAAAATATTTAAAAAATCCACGCCTTTGGTATTGAGTCTTAAAAAATATATTTAAAAAATCCACGCCTTTGGTTTTGAGTCTTAAAAAAAATATTTAAAAAATCCACGCCTTTGGTTTTGAGTCTTGAAAAAATTATTTAAGAAATCCACGCCTTTGGTTTTGAGTCTTGAAAAAATTATTTAAAAAAATCCACGCCTTTGAATTTGAGTCTTGAAAAAAAAATATTTAAAAAATCCACGCCTCTGGTTTTGAGTCTTGAAAAAATGTATTGTTTGGTGCCAGTCCTAACCCTCGTCAGCAGCTCACGAAGTGGAACACAACAAATGGAAACCAAAAAAAGTCTCCGAAACTTTGTACCAAGGTATATTATTATTATTATGTATTATTATCTACCTTGCTTTGCATGATTTTTTCAAAAAATTCCGAAAAAAATTGATATTTCGTCCGATGACTTGGATAATCTAGATGATGAGCATATGCTTTATATATCCGACAGGAATGAGGAATTGAAAAAAAAAATAAAGAAATAAACGAAAGGACATTCTATGGCTGTTTTTCCAATGAAAATCGATACCATAGCAATCCATTCCCCTGCCGGACCCATTATTATCGGATATTTAATAGATTATTTTCATTAAACTTCTTTTCTTTTTCTCTGAGTTGTTGTTGTTTTTGTTACTATTTATTGTCTTTATTGTGATTCTGTTTTCATGAGATTTACAGCCAATAGATAAAAATTCTATTAAGAAAATGAAGACGACAAAATGAAACAAAACTAACCTCCCAGCTTTTGCCCGGAGGCCATTGTTTGAAAATGTCCTCCGACCGAATGAAGAAGCAAAAGGTTAAGATGCTTAACACCGGAAATCATCAGGAAAAAATGAGGAGATTTTATTTATCTCATCTTTGAAAAAAAAAACAAGAAAACAAAAAGGTTAGGGGAGCGGAAGAGGGGAGAATAATCTTAAGGGAGGTTTGTGCTAAGGGGAGGTTAAAAGGTGTGAAAACTACACAATAATTGCCTTTAAATACAGTGGAAAAATCTCCCCAAAAAAGTGGACATTAAACAAAAGCGAGATAAGAAGAAGTTAATTCTTCTTTTCTTTCATTTGCTTGTCGAAGATTTTTTCTTCCAGTAATTACATTTGAGATCTATTGACAGACATGACAAACAATAGGAAATTTTATTAGAAAAAAGGAAATTAAGGAAATATGTTTCGAAGAGGATAATAAGACACTAGAGAGAAGAGCATTAAAGCTTCACAATATTAAGGTAGGATTTTTTAAATATTTTTTGAAGACATCAAAAAATAGGCTTGGATTTTTAAAACATTGTTCAAGATGCAAAACCAAAGGCGTGGATTTTTTAAATATTTTTTCCACGACTCAAATTCAAAGGCGTGGATTTTTTAAATATTTTTTTCCACGACTCAAATTCAAAGGCGTGGATTTTTTAAATAGTTTTTCCAGGACTCAAATTCTAAGGCGTGGATTTTTTAAATAGTTTTTCCAGGACTCAAATTCTAAGGCGTGGATTTTTTAAATAGTTTTTCCAGGACTCAAATTCTAAGGCGTGGATTTTTTAAATAGTTTTTCCAGGACTCAAATTCTAAGGCGTGGATTTTTTAAATAGTTTTTCCAGGACTCAAATTCTAAGGCGTGGATTTTTTAAATAGTTTTTCCAGGACTCAAATTCTAAGGCGTGGATTTTTTAAATAGTTTTTCCAGGACTCAAATTCTAAGGCGTGGATTTTTTAAATAGTTTTTCCAGGACTCAAATTCTAAGGCGTGGATTTTTTAAATAGTTTTTCCAGGACTCAAATTCTAAGGCGTGGATTTTTTAAATAGTTTTTCCAGGACTCAAATTCTAAGGCGTGGATTTTTTAAATAGTTTTTCCAGGACTCAAATTCTAAGGCGTGGATTTTTTAAATAGTTTTTCCAGGACTCAAATTCTAAGGCGTGGATTTTTTAAATAGTTTTTCCAGGACTCAAATTCTAAGGCGTGGATTTTTTAAATAGTTTTTCCAGGACTCAAATTCTAAGGCGTGGATTTTTTAAATAGTTTTTCCAGGACTCAAATTCTAAGGCGTGGATTTTTTAAATAGTTTTTCCAGGACTCAAATTCTAAGGCGTGGATTTTTTAAATAGTTTTTCCAGGACTCAAATTCTAAGGCGTGGATTTTTTAAATAGTTTTTCCAGGACTCAAATTCTAAGGCGTGGATTTTTTAAATAGTTTTTCCAGGACTCAAATTCTAAGGCGTGGATTTTTTAAATAGTTTTTCCAGGACTCAAATTCTAAGGCGTGGATTTTTTAAATAGTTTTTCCAGGACTCAAATTCTAAGGCGTGGATTTTTTAAATAGTTTTTCCAGGACTCAAATTCTAAGGCGTGGATTTTTTAAATAGTTTTTCCAGGACTCAAATTCTAAGGCGTGGATTTTTTAAATAGTTTTTCCAGGACTCAAAACCAATGGCGTGGAATTTTTAAATATTTTTTTTTCCAGGACTCAAAACCAAAGGCGTAGAATTTTTAAATTTTTTTCCGGGACTCAAACCCGAAGGCGTGGAATTTTTAAATATTTTTGTTATTTCTCTCAGTTCCTCATTTTCAACAACATCATCAGAGGAATCTTCCATTTTTTTGGAATTTTTTTGAAAAAAGCGTACGAAGTTTTTCTGCCCATTTTTTAAAATATTTTTTTTCCAGGACTCAAATTCAAAGCTACTCCCATCTCTGTTGCAAAAAATATATTAGTTTTATTTCGATTATTATTTTTTGACAAAAACAAAAAAAACCATTTACATCAAATAATCATCCCTCGAATGGATGTAATTTGTCATAGTAATATCAGATGTCCGAAATCTAAATTTTCTGTTTCAAAATGTCGTGTAAAATCAGAGAAAATTTCAACAAGGCCACGCAAAATACCAGCCTTAAATACATTTGGTCCGTTTCCCGATGAAACCATAACAATAGCCTTGGATCGCATTTTATATTTCCTGGGTGGTCGGAAAATACAGAAATACTTCAATAACGAACCGACGAGTAGCAGTGATAGAAGTCAGTGTTCCATAAGAAGGGTGTCATATAGAGACTGCGCTAAACTTCAAAAGGAAAGTTGTAGAGAATCTCAAGGAGAAAGCCCTCAATCCAATAATAATATTCCCAGTTCCAATATTTCAAATCGTAGTTCCAAATATTCAACCTGTAGCAGTTTTTCCCGAAAATCAACTCCAAGTGTTATTATACGTGAAGAAACTCATGGAGATTCGAGCTGTTTAAGACGATCGGTACAAAGTTTAAAACGTTCATTCTCGTTGTGTTCGTTGGCATGTCGAAAAATCAGAGATAAACTTTTATTGGGGAAGGAATGTTGCTCTCCGCCAAGATGGCTGTGGACAAAACTGCAGGACTATGGTGATGGTTGTCAAGTCTATGAAGTCTTTACAAACTCTTCGACAAGCAGTCATCCTTCACAATTTGAATCGGATAGAGCCCCAAGAATAATTTTTGTTATTTTACCCACCGGGGTAATAATGCCATTTGAGACCCTTATAAGGCATTGAGAGATCTTAAATAAAATAATCTTTAAAAAATCCACGCCTTTTGTAAGACCCTGAAAAAGTAGTCTTTAAAAAATCCACGCCTCTTGTAAGACCCTGAAAAAGTAGTCTTTAAAAAATCCACGCCTTTTGTAAGACCCTGAAAAAGTAGTCTTTAAAAAATCCATGCCTTTTGTAAGACCCTGAAAAAGTAGTCTTTAAAAAATCCACGCCTCTTGTAAGACCCTGAAAAAGTAGTCTTTAAAAAATCCACGCCTTTTGTAAGACCCTGAAAAAGTAGTCTTTAAAAAATCCACGCCTTTTGTAAGATCCTGAAAAATATTCTTTAAAAAATCAACGCCTTGTCTGAGACCCTGAATATATTCTTTGAAAACCCCACGCCTTTCGTAACACCCTGAAAAATTAGTCTTTAAAAAATCCACGCCTTTTGTAAGAACCTGTAAAATACTCTTTAAAAAATCAACGCCTTGTCTGAGACCCTGAATATATTCTTTAAAAAATCCACGCTTTGTCTGAGACCCTGAATATATTCTTTTAAAATCTACGATTTTTTAAACATCCATTAAAATCGTTCTCCAAATATTTTTTAACGCCAAAAAGGACATTTCCACTTTTTTGTGTCCCAAACAATGAAACCATAAAAACGACAACAAAATCTTGTTGTTGTTGCCTCGAAGAACAATCTTATCTTGATTTTGGAATAAAATTAAATTTCCTGTACAATTTCTGGTAGTACATCCTACCTATGGCCATTTATAAAAGATAACACTCACACACACACGGACTCTCATATATCACCCTCCGCAAAATAACCCTTTTTTCCTATGAAATCATTAAATGTCTTTGTTGTTGTCGTTTAACAAAGTGACGATTTATATTGAGTTAATAGTTAAAGTCACTGAGCGCACAGGAAAAAAAATAATCATATTCATTAGCTAGTGTCCTCCCACCCATCCAAATGGCAGTTCTCCCCCTTAATATTCCCACACTGGGCTTCAATGGGTGGCAGGGTGAGAAAGCGTTGTACATTTATTACTTTGAACGCCCACCTGTTTCCAGGCGAAGGCAGAAGTCATTAGCAAAGACATAGAGGGTTGATGCAGAGGCGGAGGTACATTTTTTGTGGAAGGGGGAAACATATGGAAAAATTTAAAAAAAAATAGGAGGAGGGCAAATATTTTCCTTGTTAATATGCACGGTTTTGAAAAAAGATAATCTGTCTTCTGAAAGAAAAAATGTAGAGGGGAATAAATATCCCCTCCAGGTTCATCTCCAATCAGCATGATTTTTGTGTTGAAGTAATTTTAAAAATATTTTTCGAACTACCCTGAAATTATTATTTTTTCAAGGTGATCCCAAATTGTCCCTTGAAATAAATATCCTACGCCACTGATTACTTTCAGGACAAAAAAATAAAAAAACTCCGATAATAGATTCAGTTTGATAAGCTATAGATATGTTTGTAGAAATATCTACATTTTGAAGCGTTTGGGCATTGACGATGAGAACGATGATGTGTTGCCCCTTTATTTTTGATGATAGATTATATTCATTACCACGGTGAGCATTCTGGGTCCTGCTTTTCTTTGTCTAAATTGTCATTTGAAATTTTGTTTTGTGATAAATGATAATTATTTGGTATTTTTCGAAATCAGAGAATGGGACAGCAGCAGGGTATAGTTCTTTGTTAATTGTCCTTAGAAAAAAAAATTTTATGTGAATTTTTTTATTAATAATAAAGGCACAGTGGTTAGCCTTGAAAAAATAATAAAATAAAAAAAGGCCTTCCTTAAAAAATCCACGCCTCGTTAGGGCCTTCTTTAAAAAAATCCACGCCTCGTTAAGGCCTTCTTTAAAAAAATCACGTCTCGCCTTGCTTAGATCTTGAAAAAATATTCTTTAAAAAATCCACGTCTTGTTTGGACCTTGAAAAATATTCTTTAAAAAACAACACATTGTTTAGGCCTTCAAAAAATATTCTTTAAAAAATTCACGCCTTGTTGAGGCCTTCAAAAAATATTCTTTAAAAAACCCTCGCCTTGTTTTGGCCTTCAAAAAAATCTTCAAAAAATCCATGCCTTATTTAGGCCTTAAAAAAAAAAAAAAAAATCCATGCCTTATTTAGGCCTTAAAAAATCTACACATTGTTAAGGACCCAACAAATTTTTTATTAAAAAATCCACACCCTTCTAAGGCCCTGAAGTAACCCACTGTACGAAGTTAATTACCAGGTATCAGCGGCAAACTTCCCACAGCTATCAGTACATTGTATAAGAACATGATAATAATCATTTAGACAAAAACATACATTCCCCTTATTAACCATAAATTTGTTCATAAATAGTGGTAATGGAAAGTGGAAGGAGTTCTGCAGGATAAATCATTAAAATTTCATCCACATAATGTGGGGAACATACACAAAAATTAGGGTGAAAATTAATCAACAGGAACAAAATATTTTGCTGTAGTTTTCTTTTTTGTGATTGTGGCAATGCGGAAGAATTATTTCGTGGGAACGGAAAACATTCTTTAAAAAATCCACGCCTTATATAGGCTTCTAAAAAAATATTCTTTAAAAAATCCACGCCTTATATAGGCCTCTAAAAAATATTCTTTAAAAAATCCACGCTTCTAAAAAAATATTCTTTAAAAAACCACGCTTCTAAAAAAATATTCTTTAAAAAATCCACGCCTTATATAGGCCTCTAAAAAATATTCTTTAAAAAATCCACGCCTTATATAGGCCTCTAAAAAATATTCTTTAAAAAATCCACGCCTTATATAGGCCTCTAAAAAATATTCTTTAAAAAATCCACGCCTTATATAGGCCTCTAAAAAATATTCTTTAAAAAATCCACGCCTTATATAGGCCTCTAAAAAATATTCTTTAAAAAATCCACGCCTTATATAGGCCTCTAAAAAATATTCTTTAAAAAATCCACGCCTTATATAGGCCTCTAAAAAATATTCTTTAAAAAATCCACGCCTTATATAGGCCTCTAAAAAATATTCTTTAAAAAATCCACGCCTTATATAGGCCTCTAAAAAATATTCTTTAAAAAATCCACGCCTTATATAGGCCTCTAAAAAATATTCTTTAAAAAAATCCACGCCTTATATTGGCCTCTGAAAAAATATTCTTTAAAAAATCCATGCCTTATATAGGCCTCTAAAAAATATTCTTTAAAAAATCCACGCCTTATATAGGCCTCTAAAAAAATATTCTTTAAAAAATCCACGCCTTATATAGGCCTCTAAAAAATATTCTTTAAAAAATCCACGCCTTATATAGGCCTCTAAAAAAATATTCTTGAAAAAATCCACGCCTTATATAGGCCTCTAAAAAAATATTCTTTAAAAAATCCACGCCTTGTATAGGCCCTTAAAAAATATTCTTTAAAAATCCACGCCTTGTATAGGCCTCTAAAAAATATTCTTTAAAAAATCCACGCCTTGTATAGGCCTCTAAAAAATATTCTTTAAAAAATCCACGCCTTGTATAGACCTCTGAAAAAATATTCTTTAAAAAATCCACGCCTTATATTGGCCTCTGAAAAAATATTCTTTAAAAAATCCACGCCTTATATTGGCCTCTGAAAAAATATTCTTTAAAAAATCCACGCCTTATATTGGCCTCTAAAAAATATTCTTTAAAAAATCCACGCCTTATATAGGCCTCTAAAAAAATATTCTTTAAAAAATCCACGCCTTATATAGGCCTCTAAAAAAATATTCTTTAAAACATCCACGCCTTATAGAGGCCTTGAAAAAATATTCTTAAAAAATCCACGCCTTATATAGGCCTCTGAAAAAATATTCTTTAAAAAATCCACGCCTTATATAGGACTCTGAAAAATATTCAAAAATACAACAGTACATACACCGCATTTTTTGTGACATTTGTTGAATCCGATTTTGTTCATTAGGATACGAAATTGTTCGCAACCAGTCGAACCCAAATGAATTGGAGTTCTTTGTTCGTAAAAATATGGGAGATGTAAATCTCTTTGATGAAAAGGTATCATATGTACAACATATATATACATGTGTGTATGTAAGTGTGGGTGTGTGTGTGTGAGCAGATGAGATGAATAACTGACGAGCTATACGTGGTTTTCCATTCAAATATGATGGATGTCATCAATGCAGAATACACATGGATTTATTCTTCGTGGGTGTGTGTGTGTGTGAATCTGTAGTAGTAATGGAAATACTTATGGTTTTGTGGCCCAGTATTAAGTATTTGTTGTTGGATATTATTTTGCTGACAACGACAACAAGAATTTCTGTTCGAGGAGTTGGAGTAGTTTCAAGAGGCTTAGTCTTTGGGTCTCGAGGGAAATTTATTTAAGCCGTTCATAATAACAAAATTTAACCACACACATACAAACATACATCCACTTATACTCATATGTTTAATAAAAATTCGAAAGAGTTTAATTTGCAAACAATTTTTTGAAGGCGTACCGAAGCAATAGTCGTGGATTTTATAGAATTTTTTCAGGGCCTAATTAAAGACGTGGATTTTTTGAAAGAATATGTTTTAAGGACCTACAAAAAGTGTGGATTTTTTGAAAGAATATTTTCAAGGATCTACAAAAGGCGTGGATTTTTTTAAGAATATTTTCAAGGACCTACAAAAGGTGTGGATTTTTTGAAATAATATTTTTCAGACTGACTGGATTTTTCAATGCTCACCCCCTCCCCGCAATCTTTAAAATAACATATTTCTGCTACAATTCCCCAAAGTTCAATTTAATAACAACATATTAAATGCATCAAACAGTATTCAGGGAAATAAATATTTGACGGATGTTGATTTACGCCAAGATGAGTGTGTGTGAGTGTGTTTGGGCACAAGCAAACAAATAATATCCGCTGTTTCCATTCATCCGCCCGGCTTCTTCATAAGTTTGATGACGATGATGAAAACTCTAAGTCAACAGCCTAAGGTCAAATGTTCAGCGAAGTGTGTCAAATAGACAGGTCAGAAGACATGCAAA